AACCTGCACAGCTTTGGCTGTGTTGACAGCTGTCAATGATAAGACAGCTATTTTTCCATTATAATACAGAATGCCCTTAAACAGCTTTGCATGAGGATCAGAGACACTGTTCCTTTCTGAGGAACATTCCACCCAGGCTTTGCAGCCACAGTGACCTCCTCCCTTAGCAAAGAGACATGCTAGCTAAGTATGGACTCCAGAAAGGGAACAACCCAAAAGCCTGAATGTGGCAGCAGGGTTCTGACTGTCTCCGAAAGAGGCCCTGCACTGTGGACTGGAGCAGCGCCTTCTACTTGGGAGCTGGAGGTCACTGTAGTATTGGGAGTCGGCCGGTGCCTGAACGCTGATCAGTTATTGCTTAGCCTGGGTCTCTTAGTAGATGGTGTGGCCCCAAGCATGGCAGGTCCAGGGCTTTCCTTAAAATTGCAGGGGTGCTCTGCTGCCCCACACCAGTAAGTGCTTGCCAGTTGAAAAAAGAACTCCGCTGAACTTTGTCACAGCTTGATGAGGCTGCTGATTAGTGGGCAGCATGGTTAGTGGCCAGAACCGAAGACTTTCGGTGGGAGAGTAGATGAGCGCCAGCCCCCTGCTGCTTAAACAGAGGCCGCGGCCTATGGCAAATGCAGTTAACATCTCCAGGTCTCAGTTCCTTGTTGGTACATAATAGACTTTAGAAACCTTAAGCCCCATAGCAGTGTCATCACCTGTGCTACATGGAATCCAACACGTGGGTCAGGTCCCTGAAACTCACCTTCCGATTGTGATATAGTCATTTGTGTTCGTCTGTGGCGGGAGCCCAGACATGTCTCTTAATAGCTGTATCAGGGTAGGTTCCTCTGTAACTTTGGGTCACTTTCTAGATAAACAACCCAGACATGCGTGTGCAGATCCTCAAGGATTACGTCAAACAGCACTTCCCTGCCACCCCTCTGCTTGACTATGCGCTGGAAGTCGAGAAGATTACCACCTCAAAGGTAAAAGAGAAAATGTCCCTAATTCCCAAATCATAGCCTGTGGGTGCATTACTTGGGGGAAAACAAGAGCCAGCCTACATTTTTTTTTTTTTTAAAGATTTTATTTATTTGTCAAAGAGAGAGAGGGAGAGAGAGCAAGCACAGGCAGACAGAATGGCAGGCAGAGGCAGAGGAAGAAGCAGGCTCCCTGATGAGCAAGGAGTCCGATGTGGGACTCGATCCCAGGACGCTGGGATCATGACCTGAGCCGAAGGCAGCTGCTTAACCAACTGAGCCACCCAGGCGTCCCTAGCCAGCCTACATTTTGATTGTGCAGCCAAAAATCAAACCTGGTTTTCTGGGAAATTCTATTTCTGTTGCACTGCTAAGTTCAGCAGATACGTATCCCGTTTCAGCGAGGTGTTGGGTCCTCTGCTAGACATTGGGAGTTAAACTGACACTTCCTCTCCTAACCAGCTGGGATGTTTTGGTGGGAGGTTTGTAAATTGTGGTCAGGATCTGTAGTTAGGTTAGTAGTAGTAATTGTGGAAATTTACCAAGAGAAAATGAGAAATAATAAGTGCTTTGAATTTTTTGTCTTCCCAGAAACCAAATCTTATCCTGAACGTAGACGGTTTCATCGGCGTTGCGTTTGTAGACATGCTTAGAAACTGTGGGTCCTTTACCCGGTGAGCTCTTAACAATTACTGATGCCTGTAGGAAACTGCTGTTTCCTACCAGCTCTTTTTTTTTTTTCCTTCCAGTTCTAAAAGACGTGAATACTAATTACAGAGAATACATTCGAAAATATGGAGAGGCATAAAGAAAACAAAAATTATTTCTACTCTTACCACCCAGAGCACCCTTTGTCTGCTTTGAAACCAGAGAGAGCTAGTGTCTCGTTTGAGGGCAGAAGTTGTACTGCCTGTGGGGAGGAGGGCGGTCATGTGAGCCATTTTAAAACCACAGGTTGATTGTGTGTTACAGGGAGGAAGCTGATGAATATATTGACATTGGAGCCCTCAATGGCATCTTTGTGCTGGGAAGGAGTATGGGCTTCATTGGTGAGTTGGTAGTTGTTGCTGTTATTGAGAATTCAGTTTTGGGGGAAAAAAAAAGAATTCAATTTGGGGGCACCTGGGTGGCTTAGTGGGTTAAGCGTCTGCCTTCAGCTCAGATCATGATCCCAGGGTCCTTGAAATCCAAGCCTTCGTGGACTCCCCACTCAACACAAAGTCTGCTTCTCCCTCTCCCTCTGCCCTGCCCCACCATTCGTGCTCTTGTGCTATGCTCGCCCTCTCTCTCTCTCTTGCTCTCGCTCACTCTCAAATAAATAAAATACTGGGGAAAAAAAAAAAAGAGAAGAAGAAAAATTCAGTTTGGTTTGGTTCCCCCCATGGTTCAGCTATAACACTTACCTATCTGGCAAGTTTCTACGAGTCACATTATCTCCATCATTGTTCCTAATCCTTCCTTTCTTACTTTAACTTCCCCTTATTCTTTGTTCCTTTGTTCTCGGACAGGACTGACTGCTAGTCCAGGAAAACAGAATGAAATCTAACCGTTGCCTTTTACCCAGGCTGCCATCCACTTATGCAGTGGATCTGGATTTACTTCCTCTTTTTTTTTTTTTGGTATTAGGAAGATTTCTTGTCCTTATCCTCTCCCCATTGCCAAACTTTTAACAGACTCAGCAACTCTTAATCAAAAGATGCCTGGGGCACCTGGGTGGCTCAGGCCTTAGTCCCAGATCCTGATCCCAGGGTCCTGGGATCCAGCCCAGAATCAGGCTCTCTGCTCGGCGGGAAGCCTGCTTCTCCCTCTCCCACTCCCACTCCCTCCGCTTGTGTTCCCTCTCTCACTGTCTCTCTCTGTTGAATAAATAAATAAATAAATCTTCAAAAAAAAAAAAGATGCCTTTGCTCCATATTTCAGGACACTATCTCGATCAGAAGAGGCTGAAGCAGGGGCTCTATCGTCACCCGTGGGATGATATTTCATATGTTCTTCCGGAACACATGAGCATGTAATGAACCAGGAACCCTGTTGCTGTAAAGTGAAGACAAGAACTCCTCCCCTGGGAAACAAACAGTGTGCAGACAGCTGGCACGGGAGCTTGCTCTAGGATGGGCCTGGAATGTCAACAGCCATGGTGTACAGGCACTGAAGACAGCCACAGGCTAGCACTGTTCAGTCCACACAAAGAAGCTTAGTATTTTTTTTATAAGCATAGAAATAAAAACCAAGCCAATAAATTGTGACTTTTGCTCTGCTACATGCTGTATTTATTACATGGAAGCATCTAAGCACTGTGTAAGGATCGTGTTTTTCCTCATTGTAAGGTGTTATGATGTTGCTTTCTTTTTTCCATTAGCTAAAAAAAAAAAAATTTTCCCCCTTGGAGGAAGGGAATGAAACTTTTAAGACATCAAGATACCGTCAGTTGAAAGTATCCCTAATGTCTTATTTTTCCACTTCCCTTTCTTCCTCATATAACCCGAAGAGCATTGTGTTAATCTGATTTTTAAAGATCTTTTTATGTGTTACGTGTTAAGGGTTTGTTTGGTATCTCACTGAAATGTACATTGCAGACCAAACTCTGCTTATGTCAGCGGGATGGGACCATTGCATCCTTAGCCATTGTCAAAAAATACGTGGAGTGGTAATTTAAAATGTAAAGTTGTAACATACGTATGTTTAAAACAAATGCCAAGCGAAAAGCTGTGAAATGTCTTGTGTCTTTCGTTCTCTGTATTTATGCAGTTGTTTTATCGGTCTGTTACTGAAGTGTGGGTTCAAGGACTCATCTCCAGCCCATTGGCATCTGTAATTCACCAAGATTCTGGCAGCTGCCACCTCTGTCTCTTCTCTATATTACCAGTTTGGTTTCAATAAACTATCAGTAACAATGAAGACACACTACTGACTCATGTCCTCCATATCCTTCCTTCTGTATTCCTTTGAACTATACAGTTTTCTACATGTCATTTTTAAAAATGTTCATCCACCTCTTCATACATACACACACATAGACACAGAAAGAAAGAACTAATCAAAACATTAGCTTCAAAGAAAACCCCTTAAGGGGGTTCCTGGCTGACTCAGTCAGTGGAGCATGGGACTTAATCTCAGGGTTGTGAGTTCAAGCCCAGGTGTAGAAATTACTAAAAAAAAAAAAAAGTGAATATGAAATTTAAAAACAAAACAAAAACCCTATCTTCTCCCCTAAATCTGTACCTCTCCCTTTCTCAGTGAAGAGGAACCAAAGCTCTTCCCAGATACTCAAGGCAAAGAGAGTCATCCTTTCCTCCACTTCTCTGGTTGCCACCTCCTATGGGTTTATCCTTTCATTATCACTCTGATCCATCCATATCTGGTCTAACTAGTGCCCCTAGTGCCACTTTTTCATTATTTCGTGATATCTTAAAACACTCATCTGATTGAGCCACTCCCTTGCTTAACCCCCTGAAGTGGCTTCTATTCATCTTTTTAACAAGTATGTATGCAACAGTAACTATGGATTACTACGTAAAACACAATCATTTCATTCAATCCTCACACCCATCTCCCAACATAGATACTATCCCATTTTTATAGAAGATAAATTGGATCAGAGATACTAAGTAACTTGCTCACCCTCATCTGCTTAGCTGGGTCTCGGTAACGTTTACTTCAAATTCATTTTAAATCTAAATTCATTTTAAAAAATTTAAAGTAGAAGTTCACTGTTGCCACCCGAGACACTAACCACGGGTTGATGATCGAGGGTGGCTTTTGGTACGTAATGACCACGAAGAGCATGCCACTCTAAGAGGCAGGAGACGAGCCACCCTCCCACTGAGACTCGCGTGTGAGATGTCTGGGGGAGCAGCACCGTTGAGCCCTCTCCAAGGTGGGACGGCTCCCGGCGGGCGCGGCCGCGCGTGCGCACGCCACGGGCGCCCGGCTCCGCCCCGCGCCCACTATTTATTCCCAGAATCCCTCTGTGTCGCACCAGAACGGCTGGATCGTTCCGAGACTGCGGAGGTCGGGCGCGGCGGCGTCAAGATGGCGGCGGCGGCGGTGGCTGCGGCCGCAGCGGCCGCAGCAGCCGCATCTCTTCAGGTGCTGGAGATGGAGAGCATGGAGACGGCCGCCGCCGGTTCGGCAGGGCTGGCCGCCGAAGTCCGAGGCAGCGGCACGGTGGACTTCGGGTCTGGGCCCGGCATATCTGCAATGGAGGCGAGCGGGGGCGATCCGGGCCCGGAGGCCGAGGATTTCGAATGCAGCTCTCACTGCTCGGAGCTGTCTTGGAGGCAGAACGAGCAGAGGCGCCAGGGCCTCTTCTGCGACATTACCTTGTGCTTTGGCGGCGCTGGAGGCCGCGAGTTCCGGGCCCACCGCTCGGTGCTGGCTGCTGCCACTGAGTACTTCACGCCCCTACTCTCGGGCCAGTTCTCGGAGTCCCGCTCGGGCCGGGTGGAGATGCGCAAGTGGAGCTCGGAGCCGGGGCCCGAGCCCGACACGGTGGAAGCCGTTATCGAATACATGTACACCGGGCGCATCCGCGTCAGCACGGGCAGTGTGCACGAGGTGCTGGAGTTGGCCGACAGGTAGGCGGGATGCGGAGGGCCTCGCGCCGGGAGGTGGAGATGTCCCCCACCTCAGGGTCGCATCCAGGGAGGGGACCGGGGAGGCAGTGCTTACGGGTTTCGACCGGAGGGAGCCCCGAGCAAATGCATTTGTTTGATACTTATTGAGCGCCAGCTGTGTGCTGTTGGGTAGCCGCTGCACGGGGTACTGAGGATGCAGCGGCCGGTCTGACGAGGGCGCCCTGCTCTTAGGGAGCTCAGATTCCAGGTGGAGGGACAAAGGCAATGAAAAAGAAAGTCTGCGTGTGATCAGTGCTGTGTTGACATTTAAAAAGGATGAAAGGATAGTGCTTGGGTTGAGGAAAGACCTTTCTGAGGAGGTGACATTAAAACCGACCTCCAAATGACAAGCCCTACCGTGCAAAGATGGGAAATGGACATTCCAGGCAGATAGCGCAAAGGCCTTCTGGCAGGACCCGGTTTGGCTTAAAGAACTAAAGGAAATATCCAGCGGAGCTGGATCTAGTCTGTGAAGGGTGTGTGAAACACATTGAAATAAGAAGTTTGATTTTTTTACTGTGCGATGGGAAGCTGGGTGAAGAAATCTCCTGATTTAATTATTATAAAGGCCGATTCTGCTGCTGTGAGAAATGGACTGTGAGGGGTAGGAATGGATGTTTCAGAGAATGGTTAGGAGGCAGGTGAATGCCATTTTTAGAGTTGTGGAGGAGTCTGTTTTGGCAGTATTGTGTTACAGGTACATTATTTTAACAAGTACCTATTGAGTGCCTGTTAAGCATCAGATCAGACACTGGGTTCTCCGGTGCTGGAAATTCAGTGGTGAACAAAACAGACAAAAGCCCCTTTCCTCGCTGCACTTACCTTAGTAGATGGACAATAAGTAAGTAAAGTAGATAGCAGGGGACACCTGGGTGGCTCAGTGGTTTGAGCCTCTGCCTTCCGCTCAGGTCATGATCCAGGGTCCTGGGATCGAGCCCCATCAGGCTCTCTGCTCAGCAGGGAGCCTGCTTCCTCCTCTCTCTCTCTCTGCTTGCCTCTCTGCCTACTTGTGATTTCTGCCTGTCAAATAAATAAAATCTTAAAAAAATAATAATAAAGTAGATACCATGTCAGATGATTGTTACAGCTTTAATGAAAAGTACAGCATGGTAAGGGCATATAGAAAGTGCTGGTGGAGGGGCGCCTGGGTGGCTCAGTGGGTTAAGCCTCTCTTCGGCTCAGGTCATTGTCTCCGGGTCCTGGGATCGAGCCCCACATCGGGCTCTTTGCTTGGCGGGGAGCCGGCTTCCCCCTCTCTCTCTGCCTGCCTTTCTGCCTACTTGTGATCTCTCTGTCAAATAAATAAAATTTAAAAAAAAAAAAAAGAAAGAAAGAAAGTGCTGGTGGAGAGGAACTGTGTTTTTTAATACATAGAGAATGTCTAATGAAGAAGGCATTTTGCAAAGAACTGAAGGGGATGAGGTGAAGAGTGTTTTAGGTAGGGAACACAGGTTGGAAAGACCATGAGATGGAGCTTATCTGGATGTTAGAGAATAGCAGGCCAGTGTGGCTCCATCAGATAGATGCAGGTGGAGGCGCGTGGGAGAGGCCCCTCAGGGTGGTGATGGGGATGGGTCTAGTTTCCATGGAGCTTGGGTTCCAGAGGGCTTGCAGCTTGCGAAAGGAGTTCTTACTCTGAATGAGTAGGAGATGGAAAGGTTTGGGGGCAAAGGAATGATGCAGTCTGATTTGAAGAATTTTGCTTTGGGGACAGAGGAACAATGCAGTCTGATTTGAAGAATCTGCCATGTTGAAAAAAGGATGGGGTTCCTGGGGCAGAAGCAGAGAGATTAGGAGGTTGGGATGGTGGTAGAGGCTTGAATCAAAAAAAAGTAAAGGTGATTAGCGCTTCAATTCCAGATACGTTTTGAAGGTAGAAGGGACCATTTGCTGATGTGTTTGATGTAGAGTATAAGGGAAAAGACTGCTAGTTTTTTTGATCCAAGCAATTGGTAAGATAGGGTTATTTATTTATTTATTTATTTAGACGTGGAAGAATGTAGGAAAGCAAGTTTGGGAGGAAGATGAGGAGTTTGGTTTTGGCCCAGGGAGTGTCTGAGGAGGCAGGTGGATGGATATAAGAACATTTGGAGCTAGGGATTGGGAGGAATATGGCATATAGATGGTAATTAAAGCCATGGAACTGGATGAAATTACGTAGGGAGAGAGTATAGACAGAGAAGGGGCAAGACTGAGTCCTGGCAGCCACCTGGGTGGCTCAGTGGGTTAAGCCTCTGCCTTCAGCTCAGGTCATGATCCCAGGGTCCTGGGATGTCAGGCTCTCTGCTCAGTGGGGAGCCTGCTTCCTCCTCTCTGCCTGCCTCTCTGCCTACTTGTGATCTTTAAAAAAAAAATATTTTATTTATTTATTTGACAGAGACAGAGATCACAAGTAGGCAGAGAGGCAGGCAGAGAGAGAGGAAGAAGCAGGCTCCCCGCTGAGCAGAGAGCGGGATTTGGGGCTCCATTCCAGGACCCTGGGATCATGACCCAAGCCGAAGGCAGAGGCTTTAACCCACTGAGCCACCCAGGCGCCCCAATAAATAAAATCTTAAAAAAAAAAAAGAGGGGCGCCTGGGTGGCTCAGTGGGTTAAAGCCTCTGCCTTCAGCTCGGGTCATGATCTCAGAGTCCTGGGATCGAGCCCCACGTCGGGCTCTCTGCTCAGCAGGGAGCCTGCTGTCTCTGCCTGCCTCTCTGCCTACTTGTGATCTCTGTCTGTCAATTAAATAAATAAAATCTTTAAAAAAAAGAGATTGCATCCTGGGGTTCCAAAATGTTAAGGAACCAGCAGAGGAGATGGGTCTCAACAGAGTATAGAGGAGAGAGTAGCCTGGCATGTCACCTCTGTCAACCATAATAGATTGTTGGATTTGGCAATAAGAGAGGTCCTTGATCGCATTAACAAGAGCCTATAAAGAGGGTCAGAATAATGATACACATGGAAATATTTGGGGAAGAGTCAGGGGAGGTCCCCCCCTCCAAGATAGGAGATATTTGAGCTTGTTTGTGTGCTGAAAAAAAAAAAAAAAAAAGAATCAGAAGAAGAGGAGAAATTGATGTTATAGAATTGGAGGAATAATTGCAAGAGCAAAGCCCTTAAAACCAAGAAGGGGACAGAACCCGTATTTAAAATGGAAAAGTTGGACTGGGAATGCAGAGTTATAGGATAGACCTGCAGGCAGATTGGGTGGTGGGGAGATGGAGTGTCTGCCTGATTGCTTCTGTTTTCTCAAAGCCCAAGGTTGGGTCATTCATTAGAGGGTGAGGAAGGATGGGGGCAGGTATAGATCTGAAAGAGGGAGGTTTGTTGAATGAAAATGGGTAGAGAAGGGTCATTGGAATCACTCAAGCTATGTTTATGTCTGTTGTGTGGGCTTATTTTTCAAATTTGCCCCTGCTTTGTAGGGGAATTGGAGGTGAGGAGCGAACGCTCCAGGCAGTTTACTTAAAACTCTTAACTTCTCTCCATCTGCTCTAGCAGCTGCCTGGTGTTAGACAGTGTTCTAAGTGTCTTGCAACCATCACATCTAATCTTACCCATCATCTCTGAGGCAACATTCCTCTCCCTACCACCCATATACTGTTGATCATACCTTCCTTCAAGGGTCCTTTCAAGGAAATAACAGGAAGTGTCCAGCACACTGCCCAGAACATGGCAAATGCCTAGTATATGCTAGCTGTTGTTTTCATAGAGCAGTGTTTCCAAACACCCTGTGCAAGGGAGTATGTGTCAGTGAATTTAGGTGAGCACACAGCTCCTCCTCAGCTGCATGCCAAACCACTTTCATACCTTTGTTACTGTTGTTTGAGTTTGCCTTGCCACCCCCCCACCCCCCCACCCCCGCTTTAGAACCCCGCTCAGGCCACACCCTCCCAGCACAACCCCCGACCCCCATTGGCAGCTGCCCAAGGAGAAAACTGGGGAAGAGGAGATTAAAATCTCTGACAGGAGGCTTCCACTGCTGTTCCTTCTGATATTTGAGCAGACATAGTCCCCCAGGAGCCACAGCTCCTGTACCACTTAGTCAAGGCCTAATAAAGTATCTTCCCTGAGACCCTGCCTCATTGAAGAAAAGGCAGGTGATTGACCAGAGATTAGGACAGGAATGGCATAGACAAATTGGGATTGGGATTTGTGCCTTTGCCAATAAAAATAAAGCGTGGGACTATTGCATTTTATTTTTTGTTAAGTTTTTTATTTTAGGGGTGCCTGGGTGGCTCGGTCATTAAGCGTCTGCCTTCAGCTCAGGTCTGGGGGTCTGGGATCGAGCCCCGCATCAGGCTCCCAGCTCAATGGGAAGCCTGCTTCTCCCTCTCCCCCTTCTTGTGTTCCCTCCCTCACTGTCTCTCTCTGTCAAATAAATAAATAAAATCTTTAAAATAAAAAAAGTTTTTTATTTTAATTCCAGTATAGTTAAATACAGTGTTATATTAGTTTCAAGTGTACAGCAGTAATTCAACAATTCTATACGTTACCCAGTGCTCACCATGATAACTGCACTCCCCAATCCCCATCATCCATTTCAACCTCCCCCTTCCCTTTAGTAACCATCTGTTCTTTTTTTTTTTTTTTTAAAGATTTTATTTATTTATTTGACAGAGAGAGACACAGTGGGAGGGAACACAAGCAGGGGGAGTGGGGGGAGAAGCAGGCTTCCTGCTGAGCAGGGAGCCCCATGTGGGGCTTGATCCCAGGATCCCGGGATTCTGGGATCATGACCTGAGCTGAAGGCAGATGCTTAATGACCAAGCCACTCTGGTGCCCCACCATCAGTTCCCTATAGTTAAGGAGTCTGTTTCTTGGTTTCTCTCTCTGCACGTTTGTTTTGTTTCTCAAGTCCTACATATGAGTGAAATTGTATATATTTGTTTTTTTCAGTTGTACTTTATTGAAGGATATGTTCAGGAAACCTTACATTATGAAGAAATCTCCACTGTGTGTGTGTTGTATGTATCATGTATAATTATATATAAACTATATAATACAAATAATTTAAAGTATATCCTATATAGAGATGACTTTATGCTTTTAAATATACTTTTCAGCATAATCCTTTTTTAATTTGGGGAGCTTTGCCTTTTTTTCAGATGTTGGGCATACAGTGAGATAAAGCTTACCATTTTAATTTGTATAATTCAGATGTTCTTAAAATGCAACCACAAAAAATATGCACATTTGAAAATTTCTTTTTCTTGATTTTTAGGTTCCTTTTAATTCGTTTAAAAGAATTTTGTGGAGAATTTCTCAAGAAAAAACTTCATCTCTCCAATTGTGTGGCCATTCATAGCTTAGCTCACATGTATACCTTGAGCCAACTTGCTTTGAAAGCTGCCGATATGATACGGAGAAATTTCCACAAAGTAATTCAGGATGAAGAATTTTATACTTTACCTTTCCATCTCATCCGAGACTGGCTGTCAGACTTAGAAATTACGGTGGATTCCGAGGAGGTTCTCTTTGAAACAGTTCTGAAGTGGGTTCAGAGAAATGCCGAAGAGAGAGAAAGATACTTTGAAGAACTTTTTAAGTTGCTGAGATTGTCCCAGATGAAACCTACTTACCTTACTCGGCATGTCAAACCAGAGAGGCTGGTGGCCAATAATGAAGTTTGCGTCAAGTTAGTGGCCGATGCAGTAGAGAGGCATGCTCTGAGGGCTGAAAACATACAATCTGGTACCTTCCAGCACCCCGCCTCTCATGTCTCATTATTACCTCGCTATGGGCAAAACATGGACGTGATCATGGTTATTGGAGGCGTGTCAGAAGGAGGGGATTATTTAAGTGAATGTGTGGGATATTTTGTCGATGAGGACAGATGGGTAAACCTGCCCCATATTCATAATCACCTTGATGGACATGCTGTAGCAGTAACAGAGTCCTATGTGTATGTTGCTGGATCAATGGAGCCAGGGTTTGCTAAAACTGTGGAAAGATACAACCCAAATTTGAATACATGGGAACATGTTTGTAGTCTGATGACAAGGAAGCATTCTTTTGGCTTAACAGAAGTCAAAGGGAAGCTCTACAGCATTGGAGGACATGGCAACTTTAGTCCTGGCTTTAAAGATGTGACTGTTTATAATCCCGAGCTAGATAAATGGCACAACTTGGAGTCTGCACCAAAGATTCTTCGAGATGTCAAAGCGCTAGCCATTGAAGACCGGTTTGTGTACATCGCTGCCCGCACTCCTGTGGACCGGGACACGGAAGATGGACTAAAAGCTGTGATTACATGCTATGATACAGAGACTCGACAGTGGCAAGATGTGGAATCTTTGCCACTTATTGACAATTACTGTTTTTTCCAAATGTCTGTGGTCAATTCAAACTTTTATCAGACAGCATCATGCTGTCCTAAGAGTTATTCTTTAGAAAATGAAGAGGCAGTAAGAAAAATTGCCAGTCAAGTTTCCGATGAGATCCTTGAAAGCTTACCTCCAGAAGTCCTAAGCATCGAAGGAGCAGCCATCTGCTACTACAAAGATGACGTTTTCATTATCGGAGGCTGGAAAAACAGTGATGATATTGACAAGCAGTATCGGAAGGAAGCCTATCGATACTGTGCAGAAAGAAAGCGGTGGATGCTTCTTCCTCCCATGCCACAGCCGCGTTGTAGAGCCACGGCTTGCCACATAAGAATCCCATACCGGTACTTGCATGGCACACAGAGATATCCTATGCCTCAAAACTTAATGTGGCAGAAGGACCGGATCAGACAGATGCAAGAAATACATCGGCACGCCCTAAACATGCGACGAGTGCCGAGCTCTCAGATCGAATGCTAGGTTCTCTAAAAGGTGCAGCTTGAAAACAGTTGTACCTGTTTCGTGAGGCTGAGGAGACCCAGACTGTTACTTGAAAAAGTATGTCGATAACTTATTTTCTACCTAAACTGATTATTGCCCCATATAAAGGAAATATAGTTAAAAAACTGAAGAATGGGAAACTCGATTTAGTATGTGATAACTTTTGTTGGTTTGTAGTCTTTTTCTGTCTTTGGTTTGTGTAGGATGTGCTAGCTAAATGAGATCTTACTAATGACAAGCGGAAAAACCAGGGATAGTCACTTCGCTGTTTTTCTGCCAACAAGTTAAAACTCCTTTGTCTTAGGGACTTACTGTTTTGAACATGCTTTAAGCAACAGTTTATTTGCACATTTACTTTGATATTCCTTTTGATTTTTTTCCTGAATGGCTGGTTTTGAAAAGGGCAGATTTTATACATTGAGCCCTCATCTGCAGGAGGTGTGTGCAATAGTGAGAACTGAGATTTGAAGGGAAAAGCACAATATTTCAGCAAGATGATTTCAGAATATTTGCATTGGTGTTTCGTTGTATGTGTTTATCTAGAAATTCTGTTGTTTCTTTCTAGAAGAGATGACTGATGAGAAATTTGTGATTGGCTCATTATTTTTTGAATATTTTTCATTTCTTCAGCAACTGTTACAGACTTGGAGCCATTGCTCTGAGATGATGGTAGTTGACAAGAGTATTGATCTTTAGCTGATTGGTTTAATACAGAGGAAGTTATATATGTGAAATTTGTTTCTTGAAGAAGAAAAGTATTGTTCGTATAGACTGAGCAATGAAAGGCATTAAAACATTTAAACACTTTCTTCAGGAGTTGCAGGCTTATTTGAGGATAAATTACTGAGTGTAAATAATGCCTATGACAATCGACACTTAATGCCTTCAATTTTAAATTTTGCTCTGATGTATATTGTATAGAATCCTCATTCCTTTCTAAAAGAAACGTTTTCCAAAATGGGAAGGAAGTGACAATTTAGAGAAATTGGTTAAAGAGAAGCCTTATTGTTTCTCAACCCTGGTTGTTCTCCTATTTTATCTAGTTGCCCTAGACTTTTATTGGAACTTTGACCCTGGAATACCAAATTTAGGTACACAACTATGGCTCTTAAAAATCTATTGCTTTAGTTACCTTTTATTTATTTTATGCATTTTTCGATTCTCGAATGCACTCCGAAGCTTTATATGAATTAGCACTCAGTTAGCTTAGAGGACTCTTGCCCTAATGTGTTGCAAAAGGGGTCCATTATATGTTTCTTGTTTCTTTCAGAATGTCTGTCTCCTTAGACATTCCAGAATGCTGTTCTAGAAGTATTGAATTCCAAGTGCAGTGATTTTTTTTCCCCTAGTCCGTTATAATTAACTTCATTGTATCAAATATCAAAAAAAGCACAACCAGAAATTTTGGCTCTCAGTTTGCTGCAAGACTATTAATATTTAGCCCTTGGACTCTATACCAAGAACTTCCCTGACATTTCTAAATTAGTATTCCTGCCTAGGACAGTTTGTCAATAAATATGTCGGAAATCCGCTTTAAAACCATTTCATTTCAATTGGGGTGGGGTAGTAAACTTCAAGTCTTATTTCTGTATGAAGATATATTATCCTATGCCACATCTACCACTTTATCAATTTCCATTTGTAGTTATTTTGAAAAAAGCCATTTCTGAGAAATGCTAATTCTGAGTTGAAAGAGGTCTGTGCAAATGAGACAGAGAAGCTCACTGAGTGATATTCTCCTCCCTGATAGACTGTGGTAGCTAGTGCTTCCTTTTCTTGGTGGTGGTGAAATAATTTAGTAGCTCACTACAGTGGCAGTTTCTCTCTAAAAGGTGTGATTTAAGGTTTTTGGATCTTATCTCAGAGTTGTCTTCTGAGACATTGTTACCAAGTTATTTGGGGGGTGGTCTTTCTTCAGGGGATGTGACAAGTTTTAACTCCTCTAAGATTTAGGTATAATCTGGTTTTGAACACTTGATTGAAACTGTTGTTTTTTTAACTCAGCAGGCTGCCTAGGCCATGGCTGAAAAGAAGGGGTAAGTCCTTCCTTGCATGATGTGTGCAGGTTTTCCTGACAACTGGATTTCTAATTTTCAGATTTGAATTCACATGTGTGACTTCACATCAATAACTTGTGTTTCTGAAATATCCTAACTAACTTGTTAATAAGGAAGGAAACCAGATTTGCTTAAATCTGTTCAAGGCTGACATTCTGGAATCTAAACTGGAAATAACTTCCAGAGTATTTAGAAAGGTTCTGACTATGATCACAAGCCTAAAATGGCTCTTGGGGAAAGAAGTTTCCTTTTTGATGAAAACTTAAAGAATGCGTTTGGTAATTTAAGCAGTTAAAAATATAGCTTTAAAAAGGACAGCTTAACACATATTCAGCAGACCTTATGTGCTCGTTGTTGCTTTTGTTTTTGTTTTGTGGAAGGAAAAAAGAGGAATTGATTATACCAAAAAGTAATACCTATATATAATTTTGAGTGCTACTTCTATCTTAGAATGGATATTCCTTAACTATACCTACCCCACCATGGTTTTAACAAAACAAATCTGTGGTATGTATTGAGAATGTCAGTCGTGAGCTTAGTGTTTAAGTAATACCTCTCACTTGCAGTTTGCATGATTTATCTTGTATATCTTGATATCCAACTTTGCTTTTGCTATGCCAATTCAAAAATATTTTGCTAACAAATCTCAATTCATTGACTTCATGATGAAGTTTTGTTTTGGTCACTCAGTTTTATATAGTATTGTTGGGACCAAAAACTTTTAAAATACTGACTTTTATATATAGAGAGAGAGAAAACAGAGGTTTGAAGTTGGAAAGATAGTGTTTATCAAAGATTTGTGTGCTTTGTTTTTTAAACTCTTCAGGCTGCTGGTAAGGCAGTTTCTAGGGCACACTCTTTTCCTCTTTGCTTCTTGACTAGTGTAGCACGTGCTGTGTTTTAAATACTTCATTCTCTGCTTCATATTGTTCTAATAAGACACTATTCTGTAGGTAGACAAGCTAAATTGTATTATTTTAGTTACTTGGCCTAACAAGCATAACTAAAGGGACTTTTTTTTTGTACTTTCATCTAATTAAACTTAAATAAAAAGGGCATATTGGCCACACTTCCTGTCTTTTGAAAGTCCACAGAATTGTGAAGCAAGGCCTCTGCCTTCACTAGAAAAATAGGGTATTTATAGGTTGCCATTTAACTGTAGAATATTTGAGAAGCAGTTCAGTCTCTCCTTTAATTTTCAAACATTTTGGCGCGGCCCACCACTCCGGTTTGTCGCTTTCTTGAGAATAGTCCCATTTTTGTTGCTGTTATGATGCCTATATTATAACGTGTTCTGGTCATTGGAAACAAAACAGCTCATAGTTGAGTGAGTAATACAATAACAGTAACATAATGTAGTAGTCATCTTGCTTCAAGGAATTTAATTAGATAGCCAAATAATGGCTTTGTTGATTACCTTGGTAGGGCTTTTGTCTTACTCTCTGAGCATCACTACGAATGTCTGACATTGAAGCACATACAGTAGAGCACTTGTTGTGAACTTAATCCTCCTGCATAATAATGCACTTGTGAAAAATTAGGTTTGCTTGATGTTTGAAGATTATCATCCATGTGCTAGGGCTCATTGAGTTATTTGTAAAATACATACTTAGTTCAAGTTGGTACACCGTGAGTTTTTTGGGCTATCAGTATACTGAAAATATAATCTTGGCTCTCTCCCTTTAAGTCAGAGGAGATGTAGAATTTAGGATGCTTTGAGACATTATATTGTAAAATAGCTTGTTTTATGTTCCTAAATCTATCTTGTTCTGTGTTGAAGCTATTAATTGTCTCAATGTAAGTTTTAAATAAACATATTTCTTTAGAGCTGGTTTGCACTGTGTGATTTTTCTTTTTTAATGATGCACTGTTGGTTGTAAATGCTTTCTTCCTTCCCTCTTACTCCCTCGTTCATCCAACCCTTGGCTCCCTTAAGTTGAACATTTCCGAGTACTCTTACAAGTTTGAACACTGTATTTATTTAAAAAAAGAAGTAATTCTTATTGCTTAGACTTTTTATTAGCTAAATGAAGAAGCTCATACAGGTAGGGTACTTGTCGAAGCAGAGTACTTTACTTCATCTCGCAGTGCTAATCCTGTGAAGTTGTCCCGTCTAGCCGCATATTCCCCGACGTTGGCCAGACCCGGCACCACACAGCAGCTCAGAGCGCTGCGGTAGATGCTCATGTCATGGGCGTCATACCACTCGTCCGTCTTTTCGTCATAGCACTCCACATTAAAAGTGGTAGTGAAGCCATTAAAGCCGCCCACCACAAATAAGAGGTCGTCTACCACCTCGATACCAAAATTGCTACGAGGATTAAACATAGTGGGGATTGTGCGCCAAGTATTAGCCACTGGGCTGTAGGCTTCTGCACTCCTAAGTCGATTTGCTCCATCAAAGCCACCTACCTATGGACAGCAAGGGAAACACGGTTGACTGTTAGCCATGGCTTCTGTGCACAGAGGAAGAGCCCACCATTGGGGGTGGGGGCGGGGAACCAGTGATTTCATACCTCCCTCTTTCCACTATTTTCCACAGGGAAAAAATGCTTTTCAAATGCTTACCAGCAGTGTAAACCTATTTGCGAACAAAAAAGCTAGGGTTATCGTTTTGGTGTGATACGATATAAACTCACCGCATATACATGCTCTCCATAAGCAATTACGCCTATTCCACTCCTCCTGCTTCTCATGGGTGCTATAACTGTCCACTGATTACTCTCAGTGTTGTACACTTCGGCTGTGAACAGACACTCGTTTCCGTTAAAACCGCCACATATGTAGACCTGTGTGGAGAAAGGCGCAAGGTTACTGAAATCGTCCCCACTGGGGAGTGGAAAGAAAAGGTGTGTATGTGGCGGTGATGAGGGGAACCCTTCTGATGCCAGCCTGTACGATCACTCTTTCTCCTGTGTGTGCATACATCGCTTTTTAATGAGTAAAATGTTAAAGGATAGTTACAAAGGGCCACTTTGTCGTTTGAGGACGGAGTTAGTCCTGCAAAGTGAGTGTTGCCTCTTCTATTTTCCACCCGCCCTCCCCCGAAAACAAAGAAGAGCATTACTTCTGGACGTGTTCTCCGCCCCCCCCCCAGTCCTACCTTCCCGTAGAGTGTTGTGGCACTCGCGTCACTCCTCTGCTCGTGCATAGGGGCGATGAGCGTCCACTGGTTGGTCTCGGGCTCGTAACGTTCAGCAGTGTTCAGACGCACATAGCCGTCAAATCCTCCCATGGCGTAAATAAAATTGCTGAGGACTGTCACGCTGACGTAGCAACGTCGGGAGTGCATCGGGGCCACCTGATGCCACGTTTTCTTGACCGGGTCAAAACGCTTAACGCTATTGAAATAGTCTACACTATCGAACCCCCCAATGATATAAACGTAGCCTTTCAAATAGGCTGCCCCGTGGTAGGCACGGGGACTCTCTTCCTCACAAGTGACATTCACCCATCTGTCTGCCCGAGCATCGTATGCCTCAATGGCATTGGTGGGGCTCCCACCACTCCAGCCACCAATTGCAAATAGGATGGCATAGGGCAGGCGGGGCCTGGTGAGTGGGTTGGTAAAGTCAGAATTAGAGGGTCCATTCATGTTGAGGTCATACATGGCCTTTAGGGCATTGATGATGACTGGCTTGCATTCCTCACTGTCTTTGACATAGTCGTTCATCTTCACATTGTTCATGAAGTACTCAGCATGCATTAGGGCCAGGCGAACCTAAGAAAGAAATACAGAAAGTGAGATGAGGTGAGGCTATCTGGAAAACCCATCTCCATATCTCCCTGCTTACAGTCTGCCTTTGCGTGGCAGCAGGGTCATATTTTGTGTTTGAAACTTACAGCTCACAGTTTTGCGGAGGTGGTATACATATGGATGCTGAGAATGAGCTAGATAGAAGGGACCTCAAATGATCACAGAGCTAGCCCCTTCCTGGGCTCCTGGGCAGTACTATCAGACCAGAGAAAGCTGTGGTGGTTGTTCAGTCATTGAACATCTATGTTTTCTCTGTATAAAATAACACAGATTAGCACCAAATGGCTGTAATTGTATATAATACAGTTTGGTGTCTATCCCACTTCTACCTGGGGTTTGGGGAAACTCACAGAATAAAAATGGGTGAAAGGAAGGCCCTTTAGAATTCTTTTGAAGGCCTTGCCATCTCCTTCCCCCACTGCCAGGGAGAACTTTGGTCAAAGAATATAAATGAGGTAGAAGAAGCTAGCAATGTCAAGAAAGAAAAAAAAAACCCTGCAAAATTCCACAGAATAGTAGCCTTCTATATAAGTGTATGTGAATACAGCCCCAGAATCTGCCGAACAGCTAAATGTGGCTCTTCGCACAGTCCCTCCGGGATAAATGAACCAAACATGAGCAACTAAGCATCCCACAAAAAATAACTAAACTTGACCTTGGGAAGCAAAACTGAAATATGCTGCTTCCTATTTTGGGGGTCATGAGAAATCCATTTTAAAATGGCCTCAAATACAGCATCTTCTTGTTTGACGTTGAGCTCATCTTTCTCAATGATATCCTTCAGTTCAGTGACTGAGAGCTCTAAAAACTCGGCCGAGACTTTCACCATCTCCTCAAAGTTGTGCAGTATAAACATGTAGGCCTTCTGCCTCAGCTCGGGACAGTAGTAGTAGTCCGTGAACTTGCAGATGCCGATACAGTTATCCAAACACAGCTCCGACTTGAGGAACTCACAGCAACCCCTGACAATACCCATGATGTTAAATTGGTCTGCAGCAGCCAGCAGCTTCTCCACATTGTCCGGTGTGATAGGGACGGTCCGGGTGTATGCATATTCAATAATTAGCTTCATCATGTCAGGGGAAATGCCAGGAATGTTGTATACCTTCTTTTCAGTGTTGTTCCAGCCACTTGTAAACAAAGCTCTGGAAAAAAGAAAGAAACTAGCAGCCACTGAAATATTTCTCTCCAGTTTAACAGGTTCTCCTCCCACTGTCTTTCGTCGAGGAGAGTTTGGACATTGCCCAAACAGTGCACAGTGAGTATGTTAGAAATAAATTGGCGTGAGGAAGGGGAGGGGGCGGGCAGACTCTGCATCTTATACAGTGGGCAAGAGAACCTTACCAAGAACTTTGACTTTGGTCACTCTCCTTATCCTCATGAAAACTAGAACTTTTCCCTATTTTGTGGGTGGAAAAATTAGGATCTAGAGCCGGGAATAAGACCTAGAGCCAGGAATAAGACCTAGATGTCTTCTATCTCAATCTGGCTTAAGAAAATTAAACTTGAGGGGCGCCTGGGTGGCTCAGTGGGTTAAAGCCTCTGCCTTCAGCTCAGGTCATGATCCCGGGGTCCTGGGATCGAGCCCCGCATTGGGCTCTCTGCTCGGCAGGGAGCCTGCTTCCTCCTCTCTCTCTGCCTGCCTCTCTGCCTACTTGTGGTCTTTGTCTGTCAAATAAATAAATAAAATCTTAAAAAAAAAAAGAAAATTAAACTTGAGCCAGATGGTCTTTTTTTTTTTTTTTTTAAAGATTTTATTTATTTATTTGATAGAGATCACAAGTAAGCAGAGAGGCAGGTAGAGAGAGAGGAGGAAGCAGGCTCCCCACTGAGCAGAGAGCCCGATGTGGGGCTCGATCCCAGGACCCTGAAATCATGACCTGAGCCGAAGGCAGAGGCCTAACTCACTGAGCCACCCAGGCGCCCTGAGCCAGATGGTCTTTTAATAAGTACCGTTCAACCAGCACACACCCAGAATCTGATCACTCCTCACCTCTGACTGCTACCTCCTTGGTCCAAGCCCCCACCATCTCCAGCCTGGATGATTGGGAGTAACCCTCTAATGGATGCCCCTGCTTCTGCCCTTGATGCTGCCAGGGCTTACAGTCATACCCCAACCACCTTATGAGTTTATGTACCCTTCCACCCAAAACCTTCTGCTGACATCCATTCTTGCTCAGAGTAGAATACAAAGTGCTTGCCAGGGAGTACAAAAGTCCTCAGATCTAGACCAGTAATACCTCTCTGGCCACTTCCTCCCACTGTCCCCCTCATTCCATTCCAGTCCCACCAGCCTTGCTTTCCTTGAATACACCAGAGGTGTTTCATTTTTGGTCCTTTTGTACCTGCAGTCGTCTCTGCCTGGAAGGCTCCCCACTGCAGATCTCCGTATCTCACTCCCACATCCCCCTTAAAGTCTTTGCTCAAATATCACTTTGTCAACAAACCATCCTATATAAAATCACCACCTTTCTATTTAAAATCTCCCTACCTGGGGCGCCTGGGTGGCTCAGTTGGTTAAGCATCTGCCTTCTGATCAGGTCATGATCCCGGGGTCCTGGGATTGAGTCCTGCATAGGGCTCTCTGCTCAGAGGGGAGTCTGCTTCTCCCTTTGCCTGCCCCCAACCCCGCTTGTGTGTGTGCTCTCTCTCTCATAAATAAAATCCTTAAAAATAAATAAAATCTCCCTACCTTCCTTTTTTCCACCTAGCACTTGCGATCTGCTATTTTTTTATTTATTGAATGCCTATTCCTCCTACTAGAAGGTAAACTTCATGAGAAAACAAATGTTTATCTCTTTACTCAGTGTTTCATTTCTAGTACCCCAATAGTGCCTGTCATAAAATAGGCACTCAATAAATAATTATTGACAGTGTGCTATTCCAGAACTATTTATTGGGCTTCTACTGTAGAGCTACATACTTTTTTAGGTGTTCAACAAGACAGAAGAAACTGCCCTGACAAGTTTTTCCTCTTTTTTTCCAGGTGGTTTAAGAGAATATGGGCTTGGAAATGAGATTCTTCCCTGGAGCAGGGGTCTGCAAACCTACAGCCTCTGGGCCAGATTTGGTCCACCTCTTATTTTTGTACCACCTACAAGCTAAGAATGTTTTCTACTTTTTAAAAAATTTTTTAAATTATTTATTTATTTATTTTTAAAGATTTTATTTATTTATTTGACAGAGATCACAAGTAGGCAGAGAGAGGCAGACAGAGAGAGAGGAAGGGAAGCAGGCTCCCTGCTGAGCAGAGAGCCCTATGCGGGGCCTGATCCCAGGATCCTGGGATCATGACCTGAGCCGAAGGCAGAGGCTTTAACCCACTGAGCCACCCAGGAGCCCCCCATTTTTCTTTAAAGAGAGAGAGTTGGGGTGGGGTGGGGTTGGGGGGCAGGAACAGAGGGAGAGGGAGAGAATCTTAAGCAGGCTCCATGCCTAACTTGGAGCCCAACACGGGACTTGATCTCAGGCCCCTGAGATCATGACCTGAGCTGAAATCAAGAAGTTTAACCACTTAACTGACTGAGCCACCCAGACACCCATTTTTTACATTTTTAAGTGGGGAGGTTTTGCAGCACCTGGAAATTATAATAAATTCAAATTTCAGCATCCATAAATCATTTTTATTGGAACACGGCCATGCCCTCTCATTTAGTATTGTCTATGGCTGCTTTCCCACTGTAAAGGCAGAGGACAGTCATTGTGACAGAGGCTGTATGGCCAGTAAGGCTTAAAATATTCACTACCTGGTCTTTTGTAGACCCTGTTGTAGGTCTAGATGAAATGAGAGTTTTTAGCAACAGTTGGAACACATGTATCATGTTCATTGGAACTGAGCACTCACATTTTCAGCTCATGAACAAAATAGCTCTGCCGCTTCCTGGGTCCCAGTGCTTATGGCCCAAACTCCCTTTATCTTCTGACAAACACTTCCTTGGGCCTTCCCGCAGCCTCCTTCCCATCTGCTCAATCCTTGTCAATTCATCACCCTGTTTGAGATAGTCTCTACTGGGATGGGGGCACAAGGGTGGGCAGCACTGTCCTCTAGGTTTAAGTGGGAAATCCAGGATGGGGGTCCAACCTTCCCAAAGGTTAGTTTGGGTGAGAATCAAAGGAAAAAAGCACCTGGCCCACTAAGAGTTGGCTGAAATCCAGTTGGAAAGCAGAGAGGCGGCTCCGGCCCTAGTCGTGCCTCTTCAGAAGACAAAGGAGCCAGGCTAGGGGAGCCCAGAATTTTGACAGCGTCCCTAACTTAAGATGATGGGGTGGGATACATGAAATGAACCAAAATGTCTCAGAATGAGCCCAAGTCCCCCTTTGGCTTAGTTTTGCAACCCTGTTATACCTAAAGTAGGAACTGCAGCTACAGAGGATGTTCTTGTGGGCATTGAACTCAAAGCCATTGACCTTGATGACCACGTCGCAGAGCTTGCCCTCTAGCCTAAGCTCGTTGAAGATCTCACAGGTCATCGCACTCATCTTCCTCTCCATGTGAGGCTGGTGGAAACGTGTGGAGGCCGCCGCGCTCTCCATCTCCATGGCACCCTGGGACCAGCGGAGAGAGGCTGCTCTCCTAGGGTGTTGGGGAGGGTTGTGGGGGGCCCCTTTAGCCTGCTGTCGCTCCTTTTCCCTACTACATCTTTCATATAGGGCCCATCAGGCAGCCCAAGTTCCAGAATCCTGGGCCCGCAGTGAGATCACTCTCAGGATTGTGGCCTCAGGTTCTGGAACTCTCTCCTGTCTCTGTCCTCCTTCCTTCCCCCCTCCCCCACCATTCAGGCTGAAGACCACCCCACACCTTCCAAGCCCTTGAATCTGGAGCAGGACTGTGACCACCAACGCCATATAAGAGTTTTTATCCATTCTAGCTCCTGTTGCCCACTTCAGATGCTCAGCTCTGTGTCTGTGTAGCATCATCTAGACCTTCCACTGCTGGGCACTTGGCTCCCCAGATACTGAATTCAAGGAAACCAAGTCAGAGGAGGCAGAAGGAAGGGAAGCTGATTAGAGCTCACGCTGGCCCAGCTGTCCAGGGCCTTCCTGCCCTGAGGACTTGTGTTAGTCGCTCATTGTCTTCTGCGATGAGGAGTGGGCCCAGTTAAGCCCCTTCTGGATGCTTTCCATACCCTCTCCCTTCCTGCGGCTTTTGTGTCTTGCAAAATTTACGTCTGGAAATAACCCCTCTGGCCAGTACTTTTGCTGTCGACGGTGGCACCCGGTAACCCCAACTCTTGTGACCCTCACCCTGCTCAACACAGAGCCGGCACTCGGGGTCTTGCCCAGCGCGGGCGCCGCCCTCTCCCGGCTCCGCCCGCCCCCCGGTCCCCCGCCCGCGGTTCCCCGGCCTCCCGGCGGCGGGCGACGCCTGCGCAGTGCGGCCGTGGGGAGGTCGTTGTCCCGGCGCCGTCGTCCCGGCCGCGAGCGCCATGGCGGAGGAGGTGAGGCGGGAGGAAGCGTCCGACGTGGGGCGGGCTCCGATCCCCGGGGCGCTCCGAGGCCCCCAGCTGGCCGCCTGGGCCCCGCCGCGCCACCCCGGCCAGTAGGCGCCCGGGTCTGGCCCGGAGCCCCCCTGTGCGCCTCGCGCGCCCCGGCCCCGCCTCGCAGGGCTGCGGAGCCGGCGCCGGGCTCCCCCTGGGCCCAGCGCGGTGCCGGGGTCAGCGCTTCTCTCGGGTCTCGGGACAGGTGAGCACCCTGATGAAGGCCACGGTCCTGATGCGGCAGCCCGGGCGGGTGCAGGAGATCGTGGGCGCCCTCCGCAGGGGCGGGGGAGACCGCTTGCAGGTACGGCGGGGGCGACGAGGGGCGGCTGGGGAGGTGACCGGCCCAAGGGGCCTGCCCGCGCTGCCGCGGACGCTGCGGGTCCTGAGCCCCTACAAATGGCCAGCGGCCGGAGGGCGAACCGGTTGCTCCACCTGATTGCCCTGGGTTAGAATCCACCTGCCGGAAAACCGACATTTCAAATTTGTCGGTCATGACCAGCGTCTGCTTCCTCTTACTAGGTAGAAGGCACCCAGCACCAGGCCCTGGGGCCCTGTTTCCACACTAGCCGGGTCAGCGGGCTCCCCAGGAAGTTGCAGATGTGATGGGTCACCTTGGGAGGGACCCAAGGCAATGAGATGGCAAGGCTAAGAGTCAGAGAGGGTCTTGATTCTTCAGTCCCCACTCTGCCAGCGACCTCCAAGAGTCTGGGCGTCCTCAGGCGTAGCAGGCTGCTACTAACTAGGATTAGTTCTCCCTCCCCGCTCCCAACCCCTTCCTAACTCCTGCAGGGCTTTGCCTACTGGCTGGATACTGAGCTGGTTAGCCTTTCATAATCTTCCCCCGCCCAGGCAGGGCCACACCATAAGGCATCTGTATGGATAGCATCTCTCTTTTGCATTTTAGGTCATCTCTGATTTTGACATGACCTTGAGCAGGTTTGCGTATAATGGAAAGCGATGCCCTTCTTCTTACAGTAAGTCACATACTAGCTTGCTTTTTTGGGCTTGACAAGATGGTAGCTTCTGAGTGGCAAATGAAAGGAGTTTTCTGTGTTTGCAGACATTCTGGATAACAGCAAGATCATCAGTGAGGAGTGCCAAAATGAGGTGGGTTACAACCCCTTCTTTGTTCAGAGATGGCTGTCATGTACTACTTGAGATAGTTCTTGGTTAGGACCAAAGATTCCAGGGTAGAGACCTTAGAAGATTAATATTTTTAAAAAAATTGTTCTTATGTTCAGGTGGACCTTAGTCTCATAGACTGGGGCAGTGTTTCCTTTTTGTTCAAGACATGTGACGATTGGTGGTTAGAATATGGATGTTATGCATTCTGCGAGTTATAGAGTTTACAAGAGACTTCAACATTTGCTGTTTAACCCTCCAGCAACTCCAAGGGGTGGATAGAACCACTATTATCTCCATTTAACAGATGAGAAAACAGGCTTGAAGAGGATAAGCAACTCCTTCAAGGGTCATACAGGCAAGACACAGAGAGCTTGGTTTTCCCATAGATCTAATTCTGTCCCAAACTCTTTTCACTACATTATGCTGTTTCTTTAATAATATAATTGGGGTGGGGGTTGCACCTGGGTGGTTCAGTGGGTTGAGCGTCTGACTCTTGGTTTTGGCTCAGGGTGGTGGGATCTGGGATTAAGCCTGCTGAGCAGGGAGTTTGCTTGAGATTCTTTCCCTCTCCCTCTGACACTCCCCCTGCGCACCCCCCCCACCTCTCTCTCTCTAAAATAGATAAATAAGTCTTTTAAAAAATATATAATTTTTTTGGCAAGGTAACAGGTATCAAGAAAGACTTCTGAATTAATGTCACTATATGATAACGCCCACTTCCATGAGATGCATACAAATATTATAAATCATGCAGCCTTGGAGTTCATTTTACTTTGTTCCACATTCTGGCCCCTTTGCCAGAGGAGAGCCCTGCTGGTTGTACATTTCTCTAGTTTGCTGAGCTCTTTCTGCTAAAGAGCTGTTATCATTTAGTTTCACTTCGTTATGAAATTCACTAAATTACATTTTAAGCGGTCTGTCAATCTGTCATCTTGATCAGCTTTTCCAATACTCTGTCATGGTTACTTGTTACTAAGATGGGCAGCAAATTATAGATGCACCTTATATTTCTAAAACCCATCTTTCTGGAGTTGCATTTTTAGCTTAACGTAAGTTCTGGCTCCAGACCTAATCAGTTGTTTTTGGTGAGTCACTTTTAGTGGTCCCTCACATACATGTCTTATCAGCTTCCAGAAAGCTGAACCCACAAGTAAGACAACAGGTTGGGTGCCTGCTCTAGGATAACAAAATGAAGGCAAACTAAGATTCTGAGCGTTGATGAGCTCCCGAAAAAAATCATAAAGTTTATGCATGAAGCCCTTTTTTTTTTAAAAAGTATATTCTGTTGAATTCTCTTACGCTTTTTAGAAAAATATTCTCACACTCCCCCCAAAACACACACATTGAGAATCTTAATACATTTCAGGAGTTTTCTCCCTTTGTCAGTGTATGCTCTTTGCCTTTAACTCTCTTTTGGACCCATGGTCAGGGACTCCACATTGATCTCATAATATTCTGAGACTGGGCATATGTTAAAGTTAAAATTCTTTTGCCTGACCAGTTCCCATTTTTATTGGGTGCTGTTACTGACTGGCCTGTGTGACACGTGGTCCCAGATGCGGTCTCCTCAGACATGGAGGGAGATCTTAATAGGAGAAGGTACACACAGGAGCCCGTGAGCTGATTCCCCTGATATTGGTTCTGTGATCATTATCCACCAACATGCTGGCTCCCAAACCCACTTCCTGATTTTTCTACTTCCACTTTAATGATTTTTGCCATATCTATTATAGTGGCCGGTAATACATATTTTACTTAAAGTTGGGTTCCTATTAAAAATCTGAATGTGGGGAGCCTGGGTGACTCAGTCAATTGAGCATCTGCCTTCGGCTCAGGTCGTGGTCCCAGGATCCTGGGATCGAGCCCCGAATAGGGATCCCTGCTCATTGGGGAGTCTGCTTCTCCCTTTCCCTGCTGCTCCCCCTGCTTGTGCTCTCTCTGTCTCTCTCTGTCAAATAAATAAATAAAACCTTTAAAAAAAATCTGAATGCAATTAGAAAAGAAACAATCTTTGTGAGAGCATGAATTTGATGCGCTAGTTTTTTTTTTTCTTAATACGCATTAAAAGGAACCCAAAACTACTAAAATGAAGAGTGTGTATCCATGTGCCTCCTAAAATGACTTTGCCTACCCCCTGAGAATGTGTACCCCATTTGGGGAAATACAGCTTTAATCCCTTCTTACCGGTTAAGCCTTGTCGACTGAGCTGGAGAATAACAACAAAATCCTAGTAACTTCTCACCTGAGAGCAAAAGGTCTTTGTGGATTCTTAGACCTCACCCTCTGAGGGTGCGGATGAAGGGCTGACCAGCTCGGCAGGTCAGTCACTCCCTAACACAGAGTTGCCTCTTCTAGGTGATTATTTCCTCACACTCAACTGTGGGCCTTCGCTGGGGAAAGCTTGATGTGGACTAACGGCTTTTCTCTTCATTTGGATGTCCCAGCTCAAAATGCTCCTCCACCACTATTACCCAATTGAGATTGACCCGCACCGGACCATCAAGGAGAAGTTACCTCACATGGTGGAATGGTGAGTGATGGTGGTTTTGAACCGCTCCTGGCCCCCATGATGGACAGGTCCGGGAGGGGAGTATGTTTTTCCTGAGCTTGAATGAGGTGGCAGTCCCCCTTACCTTACTGAATTCCCCTGGCCCCCCTATTAGAACCAACCGTCCAGCCCCAGAGGGGCTAATTGTGATTGCTGCTGGAGTGGGGGCCCACTGAGAATCCTTGGAAGGAGGGAGAAGCCCCTGGGTTTGGGGGAATACGTGCTGCGGGGAGATAACTTTCCTATAGGAACTGGTATATCCTATAGGGGACAGAGCCCCGGTTCTCCAGAACATGGGGTCACCAAGAGAGGGATTCAGAAGGGCTTGGACTTCAGTGGTTAGCTCACCCAGTTCTTGTTCCTGTGGCTGTGGTTCGACTTCCTCACCCTCTTCCTTTTAAGGCCTGCCGGAGTCCTTCAGGAAGTGGCTTGGTGGAAAAGGATGAGGCCTCCATTAATCTTTCTAGAGGGGACTTGGCCCTAAAAAGGGAAAGGATACTTTCCTACTTAGTGATTGGAATTTGGGCTTTTGTGGGGCATCTGCTTCTAGGTGGACCAAGGCACACGATCTCCTTTGCCAACAGAAGATTCAGAAGGCTCAGATTGCCCAGGTGGTTAGAGAGTCCAATGCAATGCTTAGGTAAGTGGCTTGCTCTGGGAAACATTGGAAACTGGTTTGCTCCCAAAAAGTGGAGGGGAGTTAGTTGCTAGGGGAATCAGGAGAGACAGACACCGTAAGTGGCTGATGTGAAGAAGGCCTTGCTTTTCCTCTCTGAATACAGCTAAAGGATTTCTCACCTGTGGGTGCTTCCTAGGCAGCTGTCTGCTACTAGTGGATGTAATAGGAATATGACCAAGGCTTCATCTCCTGGAACAAACAGCGTCTAGCTCATTTTCTCCAGTGGTGAAAAGACTTTGGGGTCACCATGATGCCTGGTGTTCTGGATTAACCTAGACACGGCAGTTGACTAGCCTAGGACCCTTGATCATCAGCGGCATTCCTGGTGCTACTCTCTCTGCTGCCATGTTCGTTCGTTCGTTCTTTCTTTCTTTCTTTCTTTCTTTCTTTCTTTCTTTCTTTTTAATTAACATATAATGTGTTATTTGTTTCAGGGATACAGGTCTGTGATTCATCAGTCTTACACAATACACAGTGCTCACCACAACACATACCCTCCCCAGTGTCCATCACCCAGCCACCCCATCCCCCCACCTCCCTCCCCTCTAGCAACTCTCAGTTTGTTTCCTGAGGTTAAGAGTCTCTATGGTTTGTCTCCCTCTGTGGTTTCATCTTGTTTTATTTTTTTCCTTTCTTCCCCTATGATCCTCTGTCTTGTTTCTTAAATTCCGTATATGAGTGAGACCGTATGATAATTATCTTTCTCTGATTGACTTATTTCGCTTTGCATAATACCCTCTAGTTCCATACATGTCATTGCAAATGGCAAGATTTCATTCTTTTTGATGACTGAGTAGTATTCCAGTGTGTGTATGTGTACACAAGCCCTGCCTTGGGCTCCCAGCTCGGAGGGGAGTCTGCTGCTCCCTCTCCCTCTGTCCCTTCCTCTGCTCATGCACGTGCTCTCTCTCTCTCAAATAAATAAAATCTTTAAAAAATAAAATAATAAAATGTTTCTAAAAAGAAAAAATTTAGGGGCACCTGTGTGGCTCGGTCAGTTAAGCGTCTGACTCTTGATTTCAACTCAGGTCATGATCTCAGGATCCTGGGATCGAGCCCCATGTCGGGCTCTGTGCTCAGTGGGGAGCCTGCTTAAGACTCTTTCTCCCTCTCCCCTCCCTCCACACCCACACTCTCTCTTAAATAAATAAATAATTTTTTAAAGATAGTATTAAAAATACTTTTTTTCCCAAGATTTTATTTATTTGGTGGACAGAGAGAGATCACAAGTAGGCAGAGAGGCAGACAGAGAGAGGGAGAAGCAGGCTCCCCACCGAGCAGAGAGCCCGATGTGGGGCCCAATCCCAGGACCCTGAGATCATGACCTGAGCCAAAGGCAGAGGCTTAACCCAATTGAGCCACCCAGGCACCCGAATAAAAATACTTTAAAAAAGTATTTTATTTATTCATTTGAAAGAGAGAAAGAGCACAAACGGGGAGGGACAGAGGGAGAGGGAGAAGCAGACTCCCCACCGAGCTGGGAGCCTGACGTGGGGCTCGATTTCAGGACCTGGAGATCATGACCCGAGCGGAAGGCAGACACTCAACCATCTGAGCCACACAGGTGCCCCAAATAAATCTTTGAAAATGAAAAATTTAAAAATACATCACCTAAGTAGGAAGTAAAGACCAGGAGCAGAGGCAGCGCCATTGCAGAGTCCGTCTCTTTTCAGGGAGGGATACAAGATGTTCTTCAACACCCTCTACCAGAACAACATTCCCCTTTTCATCTTTTCCGCGGGCATTGGTGACATCCTGGAGGAGATTATCCGGCAGATGAAAGTGTTCCACCCCAACATCCACATTGTGTCTAACTACATGGACTTTGACGAAGACGTGAGCCTGACCTCCTTTAGGCTGGGGGGGTGGAGGGGTGGGGACCGCCGGCACCCCTTCCCGGGCAAAACCTGAAACCCTGAACCCTGACTTGGGGAGGGAAGGGAGGGAACTCATGCTGGCTTCTTGCCCTCAGGCCGTTACTTGTTTCTTCATGCCTGCTAAAGGCATGCCCTTTGGTGTTTGACAGCTCACTGGGGTACCTAATTTAGGGTTCAGCTAGGCCCCATGTCAGCGTTCCAGGTCACATGCCATCCTGGGTACTCCAGGGCTTAGACTTTGACTTGTTTTCCTGGAGCCAGAGGTGGGCTGCTCTAACTCATCAAGGCTCTGACTTCTTCCCCTCACACCAGCTGCTGGGCAGCTGCTCCGTTCACCTGGGGCGAGGCTGTGCCCGCCACCAAGGGCAAACACACGTGTGGCCTGAACAGTGCCGGTGTCATGGCTTCACGCTCCTGCCAGAGTGGCTGATCGGTCCTGTCTGAGGGCCCTTGTAAGTTTAAATCAGGGGTTACACGCTTTTTGTTGTAAAAGGCCAGGTAGTACCTATTTTAGATTTTGTGGGATGATGGACTCTGATTGACTGTCACAACTGCTCAACTCTGCTGTGGCAAAAAAAAAAAAAAAAAAAAAGCAGCCACAGTGCTCGCTTCGGCACAGCACATATACTAAAAACGGCCACAGACACGATGTGACACATGAGCCTGGCTGTGTTCCGGTCAAACTGAATTTACAAAAATCCGCCAAATCTGGCTACAGGACCTAGTTGGCGGGCCCCGAGTTTGGACTACAAGGAGGTTCTGGCATTTCTCTGGCTGTCGGGATTGCCTTTCCTCTGTGACAGAGACCGTGGAGACCGGGCTCTACAGTGTCCCCGCAGCCCTTCTGTCTCTTGCTTGCTTAGGGTTTCCTCCAGGGGTTTAAGGGCCGGCTCATACACACATATAACAAGAGCAGCTCCGTTTGTGAGAACTCCGGCTACTTCCAGCAGCTTCAGGGCAAAACCAACATCCTCCTGCTGGGAGACTCCATGGGGGACCTCACGATGGCTGATGGGGTGCCAGGTGTGGAGAACATTCTCAAGATTGGCTTCTTAAATGACAAGGTAGGTGCGGGACCAGGGCTTCCCGGCTCAGGGTGTCCTTCTGTTTCGATGCCTGATAAATGCCTGGTGAACACCTCTATGTGCTGGTCAAGGTCAAGTCTTAGAGGCACTGAGGTGTGGCATGAGCTATATTCTCATGGGAAAACAGCGATGACAGCTGTGTCGGGCACACGGTGCGACAGCGGAGTTCAGAGACACTGTTGGGTGCTCACCATGTACATGGCATATTGACCCACTTAGTCCTTACGGCAGCCTTCTGAGATAGTGACTCTTATGCCTCGTTTTACAAATGGGGAAACTGAGTCAAGGAGGTTCATCTACCTGTGGTAGATAGTGTAGCAAGTGGGGGGCTGATTACAATCCTAAATCATAGCTATAAGGCATGACTGAGGTGGGAGATGTCAGTATTCAGGAGGTGGGTTTATAAGTCAGAGAAGGAAAATACGGGAACAGACCGGGGGCCAACCAGAGGCAGGGGGGAACACCATCAGCATGAAGGGGCTCAGTATGGTGGCAAGTTAGAAGGCCACCAGTTCGTGCATCCCCCCTCCACAGCCAGCATGTGCTGAAGACCTCTAGAATGCTTGACCCGTGTGAAAATTCAGTCCAGATGGATTAGAAATCACATCTGGTTTTTAAATTTTAATCCCTATCCTGTCCTTCTGTCACTGACCCGAGGGTTAATCATGGCGCCCTGTGCCTGTTGCCGTCCAGAGGGCGGGTCTCTGTCCCGGAGCTGTTCTTGGGGAGCTGCAGCTCCAATGCCCTCCACCCCTTGTCCCGGGTGCCTGAGAGGCAGAGGCAGAAGGCAGGGCGTTCTGGGGACTCTCTTCCGCCTCCCCCGGGCAGGTGGAAGAGCGGCGGGAGCGCTACATGGACTCCTACGACATTGTGCTGGAGAAGGACGAGACGCTGGACGTGGTCAATGGGCTGCTGCAGCACATCCTGCACCTCGGGGACTGGAGAGAGACGCAGGGCTCCTGAGAGCCAGCAGGCGGCTGGGGGGCCAGGTGCCATGGGCTGGAGGCAGGGAGCCTCGCCGGGAGGCTGCCCTGTGGGAGCGCTGCTTGCTGCTCGTCCCTGTGCGTGCAGAGTCTGGGATGCAGCTGCTGAGCCTGGGCCTCTCCCTCCTCCTTCCCCAGCATCCTCTGTGGTGTTCTGGGGGGGGGGGGGGGGGGGGGGGGGCCCCCGGGGGGGGGGGGGGGGCAGGGGTCAGCCAGGTAAAGGCGGGACCCACAGGGTGTTAGTGCCCTAGGGACCATCTAATCCAGGGGTTCTTTCTCCCACAATTTTTTAAACACGGGAAGATGTTCTTCAAAGAAATCTAGTGTGTGAAACAGATCAAAATAAAAACAGGAGAAAACAGTTGTTCTGATTTGGCGGGGTGCAGGGCTGGCTGGCTCAGTTGGTGGGGCGTGTGACTCTTGATCTCAGGGTTATGGGTTCGGGCCCCACATGGGGTGTACAGACTACTTAGAAAATAAAATCTTAAAAAAAAAATACCAAATTCACTCACGAGACCCTCTGAGCACCCCGTAAATGTGTCTGGGGACCAAGGTGAGTAGGCAGGTTTGGAAGGTGTGTTTCCAAACCCTGACCTGGGATGGTTTCACATGATGCTGAGGTGTCCGTTAAACGTGGAGTTGGGGGGGTCCGTCGGGCCTGGCCAGCCCGGTGTGCAGAGCTTCCTGTTGATGGATCTCCAAACGGATCCGTTTGGAGGCAGATTTTCTCTCGTGCCCTGGGCTCCTGCCCTGTCTTCTCTTCCTTATGTGGGCCCAGGACCATGGAGATGGGTGCCTTCGGGGGGTGGGGTCCTGCAGTGGGACCCGAAGGGAGAAGCTGGTCCTCGACACAGCGGAAGTGATTGCTGCTCCGTCGTCTCTCATCCCTGGCTGCCCTTTGAGTTTCTTTCCCTTCCTCCCCTGCTGACTTGGGTGGTCAAGAACTAGCTGAATTCTCTCTAGGGCACCTTTTGGAGGTGTAAAGCAGCCAGTTCCGCTGGCGTTTTGCAGCCTGCCCTCAAACGCACCCCTCCTCCTGCAGAGGGTGCCTGGCTGTGGGACACGGTTCCCTGCAGTTCTGTAGGGGAAGGAAGGCAGTGCCTCCCTCACGAGCGCCCTGAAAGCGGGTGTCGCTTCCATCTACAGGTGGCTTGGAAAAGACCAGAAACTTACTCCAACTCCATAGCTAGGAGCTAGCGCCAGGATTTCAGTGATTCTGACCAAAGCCGTAGCGTTTCTTGGGCTTCACGCATTCACACCCGCACATGGGCTCTGGTTCCGAGCTGGCCTGTTGGCTTCTGGGGAGCTCGTGGCTACCATCTGAGGCCCATCGGCAGCCACAGTCAGACCCTGAGGTGCCCTCGGGATGCTTTGGGGCCAGGAGTATCTGTGATTGGCCGTGGGGAAAAGCCATGTCTCAGGATCCTGAGCAAGAAGCGGGTGCTCATGGGGGACAGGTCAGTTCAGGGAGCCCAGGACCATCAGTCTGTCTCCCAAGCCTCCCCCGCTCTCCTGTCCCCTCCTGGTTTAGGTCATCTTTGTTCTAGCTGGGTGGGAGAGGGAAGATGGCTGGCCTGCTGGCTGGAGCAGCTCTTCCCTCAAGACACTGGAGGTGGGAGGCCTGTTACCTTTGCTTCAGAGGGGGGAGGATCAGGACGGAGGTGATGGCTGGCAGCCAGGATCAGGGAGAGGTGGGACTAGCTGAGCATTGGAACAAATCTACATGCAAGAGATGAATCCGACCTGAGCCGCTTAATTTAATCCTTGAGTTTCTTGGGTCATGTTTGAGGTCAGGGACCTCATCTTTCCATTCAGTTGGGACAGTCAGGAGACTGGGATCATCTCTCCACTCCTCCCCGGGAGGTCCCTGTATGAATGCCCACTCCCCACCCTCCCTCCTGCAGATAGGGGGTTCCTCTCCATGGAGAGGGCCCTGATGAGGCCGCAGGAGGCAGGAGGCTGAGATCCAGGATCTCGAGTGTCTACTTTGTGCCACTTTCTTCCCCAGTCTTTGGGTCCAAAGGCTTCCCCGCATGGAAAGAGCACATCATGAGGCCTTTGGTTTAGTCTTTTATTTGGTGCAAAGGAGAAAGGGATCTGACACCAATTTAGCCTTTTGAGTGTGCAGAGCTCTGCCTACCCCCCTCTCACCCCAAGTGAGCCCTTATTCCAAGTTTATCTCAGCCCTGAACCAAGGATGTCATAGCCATCCAAGTAGTTATCCTCGCCCCCAACCACTTCATATTCTTCCCCTTCTCTGTCCCTTAGAGAAAACAGCCTTCTTTAGGGGTGAAAGGCAATGACAAGCCCAGCCCTGAATGCTGCACCCCAAGGTCACTCCAGCCCCTACTGGCCTCGTGGGGGGTGGACAGCGGAAGTGTGGGGACACGGGACAGGTGGGGCGCTGCCCTCCCTAGAAGCCAGCTAGAGTTGAGAGAGAAAGGCTGAGAGTCTGGTCAGTCCTGGTTCATGTTCCTGGGGAGCTGCCATGACACAGGAATAGGGGCAGGAGGGGGGTGGCTGGGGATGGCAAGGAAAAGTATGGAAAAAAGGGAAATTTGGGGAAATGAAAGAATGACAAGCTCAGCCTTGTTCAGTGTCTGGTGATGTGGAGGGGAGGTGTGGGTGACATGCCAGCAATGGCCCTGTTCAACCCTCAGGCTCGGCCAATGGCCAGCTTGGCTTTGTGACTCCAAAACTTCTGAGGGAGGGGTTTGGGGTCAGAAGAGAAAAACTGAGTAGAGATCTGTGCCATGGATTTTACTCTGGGACTGGTGGGAAGACCAGAGTTGTCTCCTCTGACCATGTTTTAGATGTTTCTAGACATCATGCCAGCACAGGGGAGGATGACTCTTACGAGGTCAGTCCCACTGCCCACTGTCCTCCCAGAAGTGGGCCTTTGCATCTGGGCCCGGGCCCAGGCCCCCACCCTTCAGAGCTCCTCGTGGACCCGCTCTTGGTCTTCGTCTGACTTCAGTTTGAGCTCCTCCACAGTGATCTTGCCATCCTGGTTGCGGTCCTGGTTCTGGAACATGTCTGCTATGGTTTTCTCCGGGTCCTGCCCAGGCATGAGGCGTCCTTTGCCCTCACTGACTTGAGCCTTGATGAAGGTGGAGAACTGGGAGCCCAGAGAGCCAAGAGGAGAAGGGAGTGAGGGTCTCACCTGAGCGGCCGTGGGTGGCCTAGGGAAGGGCCCCAGGAGCCAGATGGCGGTGGGGGTGATGGACTGCATGAGGAAGAGGCAGGGACAAGGGAGCTCAGGCACAGGGACAGAAACAGGTGCAGATGGGATGGCAGACGGACTGCGTTGCTCGATGCCACCTACATGGTGGCTTGTGCTGGGGTGACAGCGGGGGATTGGTTCTTAGAAGGACTGAACTTCTCACCCACCTCCTCTGGGGGGACCTCGCCATCCTTATTGAGGTCCAGGCCTTCGAACAGGTTGACAGGAGGGTCCTCATGCCACACAAACAGGTAGCCTGTGGGCAGCCCCTCCTCCCGGGACACCAGCTCCACCTCGAACAGCAGCACTGCACTGCCGGGGACACCCCGGGCTGGAGGCAGGGAGGGAGAAGAGGAGAAGGAAGGTGTCGCCATCAGGCCCCGGGCTGGGCCCGACTTGCAGCCTTGCCCTGGGAGCTCCCCAGCCCAGAGACCTCAGTTTCCCTATGCTGGGCACATGGGATGTTTGCAGAACCCCTGGGAGGGATTCCTCCACTCCCACCTCCAGCCCTCAAGAACTGTCAGCCCCTCACCTCCACTCTCTCCGTGTGCCAAGTGCGGGGGCACCACAAGCTGCCGCCTCTCTCCCACACACATGCCCTGCAGGCCCGTGTCTAGGCCCTCAATCACCTTGTTGGCCCCCAGAGTAGCCTCCTGGGGGTCACCATAGTCGTGGCTGGGGGGAGAGCAGATTCCTGGGTCAGTGCCCATCCTTGTCCCAGGCCAGCTGTTATCCCATCGTCCCACCCCACCCCCGGCTCCCCCCAGTTCAGAGGGAGAATGCCCTCCGCATGGAGCCACTGCCCCTGAAGTGTGGCCTGGAGGGCTCATCGCCCCCTGCTTTGGTTTCCCCTCCACAAATGGAGCCAGCAGCTCCCCTAGATGGCTGGCTTCACCCTCCCTGAGCCCACAAGGCAGGAACCTCAGCTCCTCATGCTCCCCCACCACACTCGCTCGCTGGATGGGAACTTAGGGAAGAAGCACCCATTGGGGGTGATCAGGAGGACTCCCTGCACCTGGGCCCACCCACCTGCCCAGCCCTGGCCCCGCCCCGGACCCACGAGGAGAAGAGCTTGGTGCCATCCAGAAGGGAGCAGTTGTAGTGGTAGCGAACAAAGTCCCCAGGCTTGGCCGTCTCATTGCAGGTCTCCGGGGGCGGGGACAGAATCTTGACTTCCACCGGATCCGCAGGGTTGTGGAAGTCAATGATGTGGACGTCGAAGATCAGCACAGCAGAGCCAGGGATCTTGTCTCCTGGAGCCAAAACGGGGTGTGGATCGGCTTGGAATCCAGAAGGGGCTGCTCAGGCCTCCACAGAGGCCCCTAGACCTACCCAGTCCTGTGTTTTCAAGCCAGGATGGGACGGAGTATTTGTCCCCAGGGTCAATTCTTCTAATACCCTCTTGTGGAGGGTGAGGGGCAGGGAAGGAAGGGCCACGCCAGTTAGAAAACCCTTTATACACAAGCTCTTGCGATCTCCCAGTAACTTACCCTGCTGGTCAGTGTGATTAGTCCCATTCTACTGGTGAGGACACTGAGGCTTCCAGCAAAGCTGGGGGGCACAAGTCCAGGTTCTTTGCTTCCTAGGGCTACACTGTTTCTGTTCTTCCATAACCACCCCACCTCCCCAAACTCAGGAGTCTGCTGTCCTTCTCCAGGATGGAAGGGAGAAGTGGTGGTGGGGGGGGGGCTGCCCCTGGAGGAAAGGACGGAGCCTGTGTGGCAGGAGGTGGGTGGGTGAGAGAGGGGCAGAGCAGTGGCTGGGATGGCCCTGTGGCAGGGAGGTCAGGGAACAGACTGCAGAGGAATAAGGCGGTGACTGGGAACACAGGGGCATGCGTACCAGTTCCGTTCTCCCCATAGGCCAGGTGGGGGGGGGATGGTGATCCTCCGGCGCTCCCCTATGCAGGCGCCCTGCAGCCCCTGGTCCATCCCGGGGATGATGTAACCCTGCCCCACATAGGTGTTGTAGGTGTGGTTGCGGGAGTAGCTGTAAGGCGGGGAGGGCCAGCAAGGGAGTCAGAGGTGTGCCCTGACCCCCTCTTCTCCACAGCTCAGAGTGACCCCTAGCTGCTGTTGGGGTTGGGGGGCCGTCCTCAGATCCTGCTTCAGCTTCCTCCTCCCTCCTCCCAGCCCCCACCTTCCCTCCTCAGGAGTCCCCGGGACCTGGAATCAAAGGGGGTGCCGTCCATCAGGGACCCGTTGTAGTGGTAACGCATGAAGTCTCCAGCTACCGCTCTCCGGACGCAGCCAGGAGGTAGCTCCAGCGTCTCCAGCTGGACAGTGTCCTTAGGGTTGTGGACGTCAATCAAGAGCACGTGGAAGACCAGGGAGGCCTGCGGGGGGATCACAGTCCCTGGGGAAGGGATAGGCTTGAACCATACAAGTGGAGAGCAAACCACAGCTCCTTCTCCACTCAGGAAAGCCTATGTGAGCACCTGGCAAAAAGATGCTAATTCTATTCTCCAGAGACCCTTCCCCTGTGAGGCATGAGCTGGATCTTCCCAAGACCATCACCAGCCCATACAGAATGCGTGTGAATCAGAATAAAGCACCCTTTTTTAGTGAGATCATCACCAAGATAGATTTCATCTCTATGGGCCTCCTTGGCTGAGTGTCCTTGTGCAGTACACAACCTGAACAACTGTATGTGGCAGCCCTCTTCTGGGGAATCCCCGAGTCTCTGTCTGTCCTCACCATAGCCTTTCTCGCCATAGGCCAGGAACGGAGGGATGATGATCTTCCTTCTCTCTCCAGGACACATGCCCAGCAGCCCCTGATCCATGCCCTTGATCAGCCAGCCAGAGCCAACGTAGGTGTCATAAGTGCCGTCCCTACTGTAGCTGCAGAGAATGAGGTAGAGGTGATGCTGCACCTTCCCCATCATACCCATTCCCCAGGGCCCCAGGACTCCCTCCAGCCCTTACCTGGTGTCAAAGGCGGTGCCGTCCAGCAGGGTGCCGTTGTAGTGGTAGCGGACAAAGTCGCTGTCCTGAACAGTGCGGGGGCAGTGGGCTGGGTGCAGCAAGGTGCTCACCTGCACAGTGTCTGCCTGGTTCCACACATCCAGCAGGACCACATCGAAGTAGAGGGTGGCATCAGGGGGAATGAGCCCCGCTGTGGGAGTCCGACAACCACATCTCGTGTTTGGGGCAGCCTCCAGGACCCCTCCGCACGCCACAGCCCCCCAGGGCCCCAGGACTCCCTCTAGCCTTAGCTGGTGGCAAAGGCGGAGCCACAGTTGCACCAGCTCCAGCAAGGCAGGTTGAATAGACATTGAACGTTCTGCTTGCCCACGCCCCCCACCCTGGCTCCCCTTCTCCCCAGTCAAGCTTCGATTCTACCCAGGGCCCTGTCATTTCCTGTCCTCCCACTCCAGGGGCAGGAGACAGAAACTCTAGTCTCAGACCTGCCATGACTCACACTGCCTGTGCAGTGTGACCTTGGGCGAGTCACACCCCCACTCTGAGCTTCAGTTTTTTTGGTTGTGGGTTCCAGAATGCTGCCTCCTGCTCTCCTCCATCCCCACGCCTGGGCCCCAACCCTTCTCACCCACACCAATGCTGCCATAGCCCAGGTGGGGGGGCACAATGAGACGTCGTCGCTCGTTGACACACATGCCCATGAGGCCCCGGTCCATGCCAGTGATGAGGCGCCCCACGCCCACCACGATGGCCACCAAGGTGCTTCGGTCATAGCTAGAGGAGGGAGGAAACAGCTGGGGTACAGCGGCCTCTGCGCAGGGGCACACACACACTCAGTCCCCCTCCCATTCCACAGGTGTGCGTCCACAGGCTCCTGTCTTCTTTCGGAGCCTCCCTCCCCAGTTACACAGGGAAGCCCCTGAGGGAGGCTGGGGGCTTTTATTTGCCTAGGATGGGGGATGGGGGTGGGGGGGGGGGGGCGGGGGTATCTGTGCAGCAGAGGGAGGGCTAAGTGTGGCACCAAGGGGAGGAGGAACATTAGGCATTTACAACCAGCCAGATGAAATCCTTGGCCTTTTCCTTTCCCCACTTTATTTCATTCTTTCCCTTGTGAAGTGGACGTTAGGGTTTTCATTTTTCTCATGCTGAAGTTTGAGATGAGAGGCTAACTGACTTGCGCAAGGTACCTTGGTCTAGTGAACTCCGTGTTCGTGCTGCTACACCATCAACTTTTCAAGGAAAGGAGGAGGCAGCAGAGCTCACGGAGGGTAGGGATTGGTTTCCAGTTTTGGAAAGGCCTGTTTTATTTTATTTATTTATTTATTAAATATTTTATTTATTTATTTGACAGAGAGAGATCACAAGTAGGCAGAGAGGCAGGCAGAGAGAGAGGGAGAAGCAGGCTTTCCATCAAGCAGAAAGCCCGACATGGGGATCGATCCCAGGACCCTGAGATCATGACCTGAGCTGAAAGCAGAGGCTTAACCCACTGAGCCACCCAGGCGCCCCGGAAAGGCGTTTTAAAATTGCCGTGGCCTTTATTTGTTTTTCTCTTACTTTTATTTATTTATTGTTTTATTGAAGTATGATTGACATACAAGATGATTATTAGTTTCAGGTGTACAACATAGTGATTCCACATTTAATTTACATACATTACGAGAAGATCAGAATGATAGATCCAGTCAGCATCTGTCACCAGTTAAGAGAGGGTGGGAGATTTTTTTAAATTTTCTTTATTTACTTATTCATTTATTTTTAAGATTCCACCTATTTGACAGAGAGGGAGCACAAGAAGGCGGGAGTGGCAGGCTGAGGGAGAGGGAGAGGGAGAAGCAGGCTCCCCACTACGCTGGATCCCAGGACCCTGGGATCATGACTTGAGTTGAAGGCAAACGATCCCCCTGAGATTTTTATTTTATTTTATTTTAAGATTTTATTTATTTATTTGACATTTATTTGACAGAGTGAGATAGAGAGAGAGATCACAAGTAGGCAGAGAGGAAGGCAGAGAGAGAGAGAGAGAGAGAGGAAGGGAAGCAGGCTCCCTGCTGAGAAGAGAGCCTGATGTGGGGCTCGATCCCAGGACCCTGGGATCATGACCTGAGCTGAAGGCAGAGGCTTTAACCCACTGAGCCACCCCGAGATTTTTATTTTGATCCAAGGGGTTAAGAACCATGGGTTAGGAAAGTTTTCCAAGCTCAGCACTGCACAAACTGGGACCAGCCAGGCTCCCAGAGTCCCACCATGGAAGTCATGGCCTGCTCCCCGCCCCTCCCCTACTTGGGCTGTGCTCTTGGCCATAGGCCATACCTCATTCTACCCACTGAGCTGAATCCTTCACAGTGCTGCTGTGAGGCCCAAGCCTGCACAAAATTTCTACCAGTTAAAAACTATCAGAGCACCCAGTCCTCCCCAGAGTCAAGGTTAACGTGCCCTCACACGATGAAGTACGAGTTCATTCATCATCTTACTTGAGCCCTGTTACCAGTCTTAGGAAGGGAGAACTTAATTTTCCAGATTGTTTTTAACCTCCATTTTTCAGATAAGGAGCATGAAGCTTCAAGTGGCGAAATTCCTTGTCCATGGTCACAGGCTGGACTGGAACCTGGGGTCTTGGACTCTGGAGTTCATCTTCTTACTCAGTATACTGCCTGCCTTCCAAAGCCAAGGCTACTAATTTCCCGTGGGCTGAGTTGTGTGTTTTGGGAAGGGGTCTAAGTGGGATTGACTTCTTGGGATATGCTGTGTGACTGGGACCCGAGGTTTAACCCAGGCTGGCGTGCAGTCCTGCCCTGTCTCCACCAACAAAAGTGGCTTGCCAGAGCCGATCAAAGGCCCAATCAGACCAGAAGCCCATCTCTCAAACCCCAAGGCTGGCAAGATGGGCGGCAGCCCTGGCCTGGTAGAGCTAAGATGGAGGAAGGTGGGGGTGCAGGGAGACCTGAGAGAGGGTAAGAGAATCCTCCAAGGAGCCCAGAAGGTCAATGCCAGGCCATGTGACACGTAGACAGTTAGGGTCCCTACACAGAGCTATGCCCTACACTCCTGGATCCATCGTGCTATCTTACTATAACGCTCCCTGGCTCTACAGGGCTAACTGCTCAAACTGACCACCACCTCCACAGAGGTTCTACTGCTTCTTTTCCGGTTACAAAGGCGCTAGACCCTGGGGCTGGAACCAGAAGAGATTCAGGCTGGGTAGAAAGGGCAGGGGTCCCAGGCTGAGACCCCTGGAGAATTCACATGCAGCCCGGGCCAAGCCCTTCCCCCCACCACTGGGGAACAGAACCTCCTCCCTGCCAGGCCTTTAATAAAGCACGGTGAGTAAACAGAGCAGTTCACCTAGATCACCAAACATTCGGGGGGAAATGAGGAGCTTGTTCTAAAAGAAACTGGGGTCCTTTGAGAGGTGAGGGCTTGAAATCGAGGGCAAGGATGTCTTTGGGAAGATGGAGGTCTGGGAGTCCCCATCCCCAGGGTGCTGTGTTAGGGGTTAGAAGACTATGGAGTAGGGGATGTGGACACAGCCTAAAGGGGCTACAAGGGATCCCCAGGATTAAGAGAGCCTGGCCCTAAGGGGGGTGGCGAGTCTGGGGGCACCCAACCCATTACCTCGAGTCAAACTTCTTGCCATCCTCGAAAGTGCCGTTGTAGTGGTAGCGCACAAAATCCCCCATCTGCACTTCCCGGGGACAGGTCCTGGGAATGTGGTACCTCTCGATGACTACATCTTCCAGGGGGCCCCCGGCCGGGCTAGCACGGCCCAGCCCCTTCCCCACGGCCTGCACCAGCAGCAGCAGCAACTGCAGCAGGGGGAGCCGGGGGAAGGTGTGGCTGGGGGACACCGCGGGGAACATGGTGCCTGGAGCTGGGACGGCCGGCAGTGAGGACGAGCGAGGGAGTCGCCGCCGCCAAACTCCTTCCCCCGCTCCTCCCGGAGCAGGCTCCCCCCCTTCCTGTCCTCAGTCCCCACCCCCGCCCTGGCTGGTACACGTGGAATGGGGGGCAGGGGAGACTGAGCTGGCGGGCCGGGGGGCGGGAGACCGAGGGTGGAATAGGAGGAGGGGGCAAGACTGAGTGCTGGAGTCACAGGATTGCACCACAAAGAACTCCAGCTTCCCGCCTCCCGCTGTCCCCGGGCTTAGCGTCCAGGGGCCCGGCCAGGGAGGGAGGTTCGGGAAAGCGGAGAAGTCGGAGCTTACTCCCATTAAAAAAAAAAAAAAAAAGGGAAAAAAAAGAAAGAAAGAAAGAAAAAGAAAAAAGTTCTGCGTCTTTTTTTCCGGAGCCCCCGGGTCCTAAGGCCGGGCTGAAGCATCCCTTCCTTCTTTCGCTGGTACCCCCCAAATCTCTCCAGGTGGCTGGTGGGGCTCCAGAACCTGAGGCGGTACCTTGATATTGCCCCCGCCCCACGACCCCCACTGCCCCCAGGGATGGCCTCTCCGGGGACCAGCGGCCCCGGGTCGCAGAAGCTGGGCGTCCAAGACTCCCCGCGCGGGGATGGAGATGGGTGGGCGGCGGCGAGAGTGCTGTGTGCAGGGTGAAGCCCGGTGTGCACCTCCCGGTAGCGGACCTGGGTGGGGAACGGGGAGGGGACGCTAGGGGCGACTTCATCAGGGCTAGGGGCGGAGAAGAAGCAGAAGGGACTCTGTAATGGAAAGACCAGGTGCCAGGGTTTGGGCAGAGTGGAAGAGGCGGCGCTCGCTCAACTTCTTGATCTTAAGGTGGGGGATTGTCCTTGTGTGGGGAGGGGCTTTGCGGGATCCCATCCCTGCAGGAAGCGTTCCTCCTGCCGCTTACCAGCTGTCAAGCGGAAGACACCCCCCCCCCCCCGTCGGGCAACGTAGGGGACTCCGGGCACCACTCTGCCCCTCCGGGAAGCTGGCCCAGACGGCGACCCCGCCTTCCGGCCTCCGGCGCCCGGCGCTAAGACCCAGCGGGCGCGCCCGCCCGGCCCGGGCTGCCGCCCCCCGGCTCTCCTCCTCGCCTCCCCGCTGCTCGCCGGGCCCTGACGCCTGCTCCGCCCGGGAGACAGCCGGCCGGCGCGGCCATGGGGCGGGCGGCGTGCGGGCTGCTGTGGCTGCTGCTGGGCAGCGCCGCGGCGCAGTACGAGAAGTACAGCTTCCGAGGCTTCCCGCCCGAGGACCTGATGCCCCTGGCCGCGGCCTACGGGCACGCGCTCGAGCAGTACGAGGGCGAGAGCTGGCGGGAGAGCGCGCGCTACCTCGAGGCGGCGCTGCGGCTGCACCGGCTGCTGCGGGACAGCGAGGCCTTCTGCCACGCCAACTGCAGCGGCCCCGCGCCGCCCGCCGGCTCGCCCTCGGGGCCCGCGCTCGGCCCCGACGGCGGCCCCGGCGACGAGTGGGCCCGCGAGCTGCAGCTCTTCGGCCACGTCCTGGAACGCGCCGCCTGCCTGCGGCGCTGCAAGAGGACGCTGCCCGCCTTCCAGGTGCCCTACCCGCCGCGCCAGCTGCTGCGCGACTTCCAGAGCCGCCTGCCCTACCAGTACCTGCACTACGCGCTGTTCAAGGTGGGCCTCGTCCCCCCTTCCCGTCTTGCCCCACCGCCCCTCGGCCCCGCAGCGCCCCCAGTCCCGGAGTCCACACCCCCCCCACCGCCTCGCCTGCTCCCCTCCACCACGCCTACTCCCCACCCCCGCCCGCAGCCGGGGTGCCCCCTCCACCCCGGCGCCCCTGCCCTGTGGGGCCGTGTCGTTCGGAGCGGGCGTCGGGTTCTGGCAGGTCGGGAGCAGAGTCGCCCGCACGACCCGGGACAGCCAAGCCCACTCACGCGCTCTGGGCTGCGGGCTCAAGCCCTTCCGACCCACTCTGTCCCCGCCCCGCAGGCTAACCGGCTGGAGAAGGCGGCCGCCGCGGCCTACACGTTCCTGCAGAAGAATCCGAAGCACGAGCTCACCGCCAAGTATCTCAGCTACTACCGGGGGCTGCTAGACGCCGCCGAGGAGCCCCTCACAGACTTGGAGGCGCAGCCCTATGAGGTCGGGTGGAGGGCTTGGGCTGGCCCCCAACGCTTGTTAGAGGAGGGTTGGCATTGGGGGGTGGCCTCCCTGACCCTGGCCTGCCCCCCTCCAGGCCGTGTTCCTCAGGGCTGTGAAGATCTACAACAGCGGGGACTTCCGCAGCAGCGCGGAGGACATGGAGCGCGCCCTGGCAGAATACCTGGCCGTCTTTGCCCGGTGTCTGGCCGGCTGCGAGGGGGCCCACGAGCAGGTGGACTTCAAGGACTTCTACCCAGCCATAGCAGGTACTCCCCAACCCCTGCAGACCCCTGTGGGCAACCCGCTCACCCACAGGGCCCTGCTTCCCAGAACTAAAGCCCATTGACACAAGTATTCACCCCATACCCTTTAATGAAGCACCTGGGAAGTTCTTCGTAGGCAGATAGGAGTAAGGGGTTAACCTTCCCCTGGAGACTTCAGTTGGCTGAGAGGGACAGGCTACAGACCTGACTGTCCCAGGTGTGGGCATGGGTGTGGAGAGGTGATGACATCCCCAAAGGATCTGGGGACATGGAGATCACAGGATTTCCAGGCAGAGGGCAAAGGTGCGAAGGTGGTGGGTGCAGAAGGCATTTTGTGGCGCCAGAAATCACTCCTAGTCTGGGGGTCCCTAACTGCGAGGTCCCTCAGCAGGGGCAGAAAGAACTGTCCTGAGCTGCTCTCTCTAGGCTTCAGTTGCCACCTCCAAACCTCATCTGCCTCGGGGCACCTGGGTGGCTCAGAGGGTTAAAGCCTCTGCCTTGGCTCTGGTCATGATCCCAGGGTGCTAGGATTGAGCCCCTCATCGGGCTCTCTGCTCCACGGGGAGCCTGCTTCCTCCTCTCTCTGCCTGCCTCTCTGCCTACTTGTGATGTCTCTCTCTCTCTGTCAAATAAATAAATAAAATCTTAATTAAAAAAAAAAAAAAAAAAGAATGCCCTGGCTCCCTCTGGTTTTTGGGGGGGGGGTGAAGTGGGGGGGGGTGGTAAGTCGCCCTTAGCACTGCCCTTCGTATGCTGAGCGAAGTCTACTCAGGCAAAGTCTATGATCGCAGGGGCTGGCCCAGCACTGGTTCCTCACCTCGGCCTCCCACTCCCTAGATCTCTTTGCAGAGTCCCTGCAGTGCAAGGTGGACTGTGAGGCCAACTTGACCCCCAATGTGGGCGGCTTTTTCGTGGAGAAGTTCGTGGCCACCATGTATCACTACCTGCAGTTTGCCTACTACAAGTGTGAGCCTCCTGGTGGGCTTGGGATGGGGGGCAGGGGGAAGAGAGAGCACTGCACTGGGAGTGTCAGTCATGGGGAGCCGTCCCTCAGATGTGAGGACCCTGGGTGATGGGAGGGGAGGCTGGGGGTGGCGGGCGGGCGAGAGGGTAGGAAGGAACAGAGCAGCCCTCGGGCAATTCAGGGACCTCTTGGGTAAATGACCAGGAGGCCAACAATTACACAGCACTTGACAGTTTACAAAGCCCTGCCATGTCTGTTTATCTCACTTGATGCTTTCACCAACCCCCACCACCACCTCCCAGCAGCTGACATGACTGGACCCATTTTTCAGATAAGAAACTGAGGCTCATACAGTGCAAGGGGCCATTAGTCACATGGCTGATAATAAGTAGCATGGGGACTTATGGCTCTCCTTGTCTGGGGGACATCCTGGGCATCAGCTGGGGCTGGGATGGATGATGTCCGGAGTTCCTACAATACTAAGATGCCAGGATTTGGATGGAGGCTGGAGTCAGGCTGGAGGAGATGAGGACCAAGGGGCCGGGAGACCCTTCATGGGTCCAGTCGGCGGATAGGTTGAGGGCCAGGCTGCCGGGCTCTCATTCCCCAGTGCCATTATTCTCCAGCTGTGAGTTTGGGATATCTAGCTAACCTCTCTGTGCCTTGGGTTTCCTGTCTCTAAAATGGGGATGATACTAGCGATGAGGCTTCAGTGAGTTGCATGGGCCTGGCACATGGCCCAGTACATTCTAGGTTGCGTTATTATTTGAGTGGGGTGAGGTGGCCAGAAGATCTGGGAGGCAGCTGGGGAGCTGGGAGCATTGGACTGAGCTGGGAGATGGGGATGGGCTAGGAAGACATTGTTCCTGAAGGTGGGGAGGTGCAGGGCTACTCCTCCCTCCTGTCTTGCCCACAGTGAACGACGTGCACCAGGCTGCCCGCAGCGCCGCCAGCTACATGCTCTTTGACCCTGAGGACAGCGTCATGCAGCAGAATCTGGTGTATTACCGCTTCCACCGGGCTCGCTGGGGCCTGCAGGAGGAGGACTTCCAGCCCCGGGAGGTGGGCACGGCCTTTGGAGGCGCTCTCAGTTCAATTCAAAAACTCCTGGCTTCTTTGGAAGGCAGGATGGGAAGGGAAAAAAAAGACTACAGGTTGTGGTTGGAGTCCTGGGCCAGGCCCACCAGCTGAATGGGCCTAGGAACCTTCCTGATCCTTTCTGAGTATGTGGCCTCACCTGCACGTTGGGAGGGGTCCAACCTACCATGACAGCACAGACTCCTGGCTGTAGGAGGCCCCAAAATACCTGTCCATCTTGCTCCTTACCCCTCGCCTGCTCTCCGCCCCACCCTGGTCCTTCTCTCTGCTATCTTTTGCCCTTCTTCCCAGGGATCCCCTAGCTTGGACCCACGAAGGAACCCTTGGGAATTTAGGGCAAGACTGACAGTCATGGGGCACATGATGCCACCCTTGATTTCCTTAGGTGTGGCAGACATTGCTAATGGATTAGGGAATTCTTTCTAATAGAGCCCTCAGAATTCTCCTTAACCGGACATTCCAAGCACCTGTGGCTTTCTCCATCAGCACGAGAGCTGATACCTGTCCCCTGCTCCTTGAGCTGAAAAAGTGTGGAAACACCCAGATCCTAAAAACTAGGCTGCCCCCCCATTTGGCGGCAGGGTCTGGCTTACCC